AAAATTTCGGTTCGGTTTTACCGAATTAACATCCCTAAATTTGCCTATGGAGAGATTTTTTCATAAGATAATATATAGTTGATGGGGGAGACTGTAATTACACAAACAGGAGGGGGTTTTCGTAATTTGACCATAACTCAGGGGTGTCCATAATTTGCCCGTACGATCCATTTATAAATTAGTAAATTATACGAAATTATGGATGATAAACACTTGATGCATGATTAATCGAATCAAGTTGGATTTGTAGCTAGCAAAAAGCCAATCTTATTATCTTATGACGATGCTCGGAACCGACGATTCACTGCTCGAAACACGCGGTTCAAGGTAAGGAACATTCGACATTTTAAACATTTATTCATCATCCACTTATAGCCTGCTTGGCTAAACTTATTTTAAAGCACTGATAAGTTGCTCTTACATTTGATAAGTTACTTTAAGAGTTGATGAGTTACGTCTTATTTTTAAGATTATTGTTTGAAAGTGATTGAATAATGAGTTTACAAACTATTTTTACTATCTAAATAGCTTTCAATTAGCTTATTTTTAGAATTTTTAAAGATCTTAAAAAAAAAAAATTACCAAACACTTTGAAAGAACTTATAATCATTTAAACATCTTATAAACTATTTTCAACTACTTATAAACACGTGTCAAGCTACAAGTGGACAATTACACCTTTTCTACTCATGTAGATGTAGTTAGGTGCGGTTTCGAGTCTAGTTTGTACGTGGCGACTGCACTAGTCGACATGTACGGGAAGCTGGGCCGAATGAGTTTCGCTAGAAACCTGTTCGATGAAATGCCCGAGAGGAGGCTGGTTATATCAGAAGTGGATTATGGATGCTGCAGAATCGCTCGGGTGTTGTTCGATAAAATGCCCCACATAGTTTTTACCTTGAACCTCATTTTTACCACCACAGTTTTGCGAAAAGGGAAGCGCGTTTACACCAAGGCCTTCTTCCAATGCAGATTTCTATAACCGAACCTATTTTTGCTGTACTTATATTAAGAAAACACATATTAAGAAAATTAATAAATATTGGTGAATTTCAGGAAAATACAAATATAAAAGACTAAATTTACGCTTAAAATGCTTAACGTTAATTCGACTTTGAGATATATGATGAGTGTTCATTTTGCATTATTTTCACTTATCTATTCTTCGAGTTTTGGTCTTCATTCGTCCGAGTTTTTGGCTTTATTTGTATATATTATGTTGTTTTTGTTTTATTTATATTTTAGGTAAAGAGAAGCTATTTTTGCTGATTCGAAACGATTTTGAAAGCGAAGCCGAAAATCAAACCAAACACGTGCAAAAGTGCATTATCGCGGGTTGTGGCACTATTTCGTATTTCAAGCATAACTTTTGCATACGACCTCCGATTGAGCTGATTCAAGTGACCTTAGAAAGCTAACTTCAAGATCTACAACTTTTGTGAAACGAAAAATTGTCAAATTCGGGCTACAAAAGGGTCAAAACAGTATTTGAAGTTGGCGCAGAAGACCAGATCGCGATCCAGCCTTTCTGGGTCGCGATCTGGGGGGTCTTACAGAAGGTTTTCTTGATCAGGACCCAGATCGCGATCCAGACTTCCTGGATCGCGATCTGGGGGGTCTCACAGTACATTTTTTGATCAAGAACCAGATCGCGATCCACCATTCCCGTATCGCGATCTGGAAAGGCGGTGCGCAGTTTCCAAGGCTGCCAGATCGCGATCCAAGAAGCCAAGATCGCGATCTGGGCACAAAATTCGAGACGAGATATTTTTCTTTGATTTCCTACTATAAATAGAAGGTCTCTTATTCATTTTAGAAGCTCTCGACCAACTCTCGATTATCTCTCGACTTCTTCTTCGGTTTTCTATTCGATTTTCGCCAGTTCTTCGCGGGAAGCTTCGACGAGGGTTTCGACTCGGGTTTTTCATAAGCTTTTCTTTACGTTTAGTTTATAATTTCTCGTGTTCTTCATTTTGATGCTATGTTTGTAATGAACTGAACATTTTCTTTTAGGGAAATGAAACCTTGTATATATTGATTTTGATTTCCAGATCTGTGATCTATTTGTCGTTCTTTGATTATGTTTATGTTTTCCTGTATTAAATGCTTTCGATTGTTTGGCCAACAGTTGAATTGATTCTAAATGGGAATGAACTCGAGAGAGGATTTCTCGTTTGATTTTAGGAAAACATAGCTCGGGTTGTGGAAACGGAGACGTGATGCACCTCGGGTAGCCCTTAAGGACTTGACCTAAATGCTCTCTTAATATCAGGTTCTGAACGGAGACGTCGGACCTGTGGGTAGACTCTAACTACACTGGAGACGGGGGTTAGGGTATTTTAGTGTCTGGGTTAGCGAATATAGAATTGACATTAGATTCGGATTTGTAGATCTTTATCGATAGTACATTGGTGAATTTTACCCTAGAAGCCATCACACGTCATAATTCTTCACTTGTTCTGGCGGACCGTTGTTTTTATTTTTGTTTCCTTTTGGCTTCATGTCATCTCCCATCTTTTTCTCCCGTCTAGATAAAGTTTAGGATAGTATAATTACGGTACTTGGTAGATTTAGGAACTTAATTCCCTGTGGATCGATATCCGGAATTCACTATTCTGCAAAATGCGATATTGTACACTTGCGGTTATTTATACGTAGGTTTTACGCATATCAATATACCAGGGGTCTCTTGGATTCTTCGGCAGAATTAGCAACTGCGTCGAATCCAACGTATGAAAAGAACACGACAGTTGACCCGGTCAATATTGACTTAAACCCGTTTGGGGCAAAAGGTCTCGAATTTACGACATCAACCTTAAATGCTCCAACTATGATGACAAAAAGAACCACAGTCATGATTGAATTCAATATCGAAGATTCTCCGACGCCTCGACAAAGAACCACAGTCAGAAGAATTAAGAGTATAGGAGCTAAAATATTCATCGCAAAAGGTCCGAAAACTTTTTCACCATGGCCCACGCAACTCGGGATATTATCCTTGAGGAAGGGAATCAACTATAGTACAGTTACCACACAGCTAGCTAAACTACGCGCTATGATAATCGAGCATTAACTGGGCAAAGACAAGCAAAGCAGTTAGCTCGTTGAAAGCTGTGTATGTGTAGAGATAAGCTACCCCGACAACTTCTGGAAAACGTGTCGACAGGTCAGCGTAACAGAGTGCGTTCAGCCCACAAGCTAAACCTGCTATTGCGAAACTAATTGTAACTCCTGCATTGATGAGTTATACGGAATGAGAACATCGTTGGACAAAATCAAAACAATGTCGTTCGTTCGAATTCTTCGTAAGATTTTCGTATAGGGGATGACTTTTGGAAAATTAATCGATTATGAATCATAATTGTAATTAGATGCAATCTGAACAATAAAGCCTAATGATATATAGATCAATGATATAGATCAATTCTCTGCAAAAAAAAAAAAAAAAAAAAAATTAATTCTAGACTAGGGCAGGAACACCTCCATGACTATGCTTAAGATTTAGATTTCCTATATAAACCCAGGGCTTCGTTTTATTTTCCCCCCACTCTCACTATCTGCAAAAAAAAAGCCCTCCTCTTCCCCTCTGCCTCCATTAACAAGTCTCTCTCTAACCTCCTCTCTCTTCTCTCTCTAAGAATTTTGCAGTTATTCTCTCTTCTCTCTCTAGAATTGCAGTTAATCTCTCTAATCTCCTCTCTAATTGCAGAGTTACACAATAATGGCGGCACCGAGCTCATCTCAGGCAGCGGCGGACACGGCGGCAGCGGCAGACACGGCGGCAGTAGCAACAAGCACTTCTGAGATCTATCTACCGGCTGAGATCTATCCGTCCTTACTGGTAGTAACCTATGCTCTCCAACATAGGTATGAGTGGAGCTCTTCGGCGGCGGCAGCGAGCTCTTCTCTCGGAAGCGAGCTCTTCCGCCGAAAGATTCAATTTTGATTTCTAAAGTCATGCAGACGAGACCATTGGAATCTCGGTTAACTTACCATTGGAATCTCGGTTAACTCTATCGAGTAAGGGTAATACATAGTTTATTTTTATGATATCAATTTTGACATTTTCGAGTCGATTGGAATCTCGGTTAAGTCTCTCGGGTAAGGGTAATACATAGTTTATTTTTATGATATCAATTTTGACATAACTGATCCAGAATTTGATCAGAAGAGCAGAAAGATGATATCTACTTTGCTTATCAATATGGGAAGGATAAGGGTAATACATGGTTTATTTTTATGAAAGTTTTATTAGATCATCCTTATTTATATCAAGAGAATTTTCTAATCATAACTAGAATGGTCCAGACATACTTTGATCTAATGACTATTATTCGTATATTAGAACTACACATAAATTATTTAGAAGTTTTAGAAATCTAAATATTTCTCCAAAGACTAGAACATGTTCAACTTTTTTGGATTTGGCTAGATGATCTAGTAAATTGAAACTTGTTGGATTGCTGCTCTTTTTTTTTTTTTTTTTTTTGATTTTTTTTTTGATTTGGAGGTTGGACTACAAAATTACCATTCTCGATTTGAAATTACTATGAACCGCAGAGAAGGAATCTTCGCTGAAAACCATCAACTTAGTCCAAGATTCTTCGACTCCACACTCTTTCATCAAGTTGTGCGCATGAGGTGGGCCCGCTTATCTATTGGACAAAATTCTTCGATACATAATACCGAATCACGATTGCTATTGTCGTCTTGCTCATCGTTGTACGCATGCCAATGGGCATTGCCGTTGAAGAGGATCCCTATTATGCTGTAGGAGCCGAAAGAGATGACTTTCTTGAACTCTTGCGTTGACTTCCAACGATTATTTATCACAACTTCTGTCGGGTGGTGGTGGTGGTGGTGCACGGCCGTACAACGAGGTGCATTTTGGACAATTTTGTCCCTAGGAAAACATTGTACTCGCTGTCGTGGTGTCCTAACCAGAAGCATGTCGTTCTGTCGGAAAATACCTTTATTTTATTTTTTAGTACTCTGTTAACTGAGAAGTCACAGCTGACACAATCGAGTTCATATTAATTGATTAACCAACACATTTACAGCTAAATTCTCGAAAAATTAACTATATTATTACACGATATAACAGACACCTCAGAAGCTTAATAGACAAATAATAACACAAGAGATGAACTTACATTAACACGTGTTAATCTATCGAGCTTCTTCAGTTGGTGCACGATGGTAAACAATGGACGAATTTGAATTTAGAGGGTCCGCGTGATATTGCCCGTAAAATGCGTAGATACCGACTGTAACAATTCCGAGGACTATAAATCTCACCCATGCTTCATAGTGCAGCTGCAAAAGAACATATTTAAATAAAATTTGATTATTTTTAAGAAGTTTATCCAATTGCAATTCATCATGGTTATATATTTAATAATGAAGGTAGTGAATATGAATTACCTGAGCGAAAAGAAAAATGTTGAAGAAAATGCTAATCGATGGAATAATCGGAACTCCAGGACACGAGAAACCTGGCGGGTCTGTATAGACCTGCAAAAGGCAGAAAATTATTAGTTATTAATCCTAGGTTTTGCCAATGTTTGTAATAACTAGGGGTGAAAATTGGAACGGAATTTCCAAATTTTGCCGAATTTTTTATCTGAGTATTTCCAATTTCGGACCAATATTTTTCATTCTGAATTTTGAATGTTCCGATTTCCAATTTCTTTTTGGAACGGAATTGGAATACATATTAGATAACGATTCCAATACGATTTTTTGACTAAAAAAATGAAAGTACGGAAATTTCTAATTCTGGAATAAAAGAAATTCATTCAAATTTCTGAAAATTTGATTTTCGAATTTTACGATTTTTTTTGGGAATTGTTTTCTAATTCCAATCTCATCATACAAATGACATGCATGACGAATTGCATATTTAACTTACTTGTCGTAGATAAAGAGCCGCGGCGGAAAAAACTGCAATAACAGCAGCTAAGAGTGTAAAAACATACGAAGCATCAAAACGAAAGAAAACTCCAGCAGCAAAACCGCAACACGCGATTGCGGAAAGGCAAATGACGCCTTCGCCCCTTCTAGAAACTCTCCCACCAAAACCCTCGCCAGAAATCTTATCTTTCCAGCGGAGAGTTACTACACATGCCGAAACAACGGAATATCCTGTCTGAAAAACAAATCCATTTTCAGGTCATGTAGGAACAAGGTTCAAGTCTACCAACTTTTCATGATTCAAAATAAATTAAAAATAAATAAATAAATAAACATACCAAAGATCCAACGGACAAGATATGCGAGAGCACACGAACATTAAGAAGTCCTGACAAGACAATTGCTATAAGACCAACCCAAACTTGCGAATGAATCGGGGTATGTCGTTTTGGGTGTACTCTGGCGAATATGGCTGGTAATAAACCGTCTCTTCCAAGTCCAAGATATAATCGAGACTAATAGGAATAATAAATCAAAATAAGTCTAGTATTAAAATTATAAAAAAAATAATTAAAAAAATAAATTAAAATTGCAGTTCACCTGAACATAAAGACCAACTAAAAGTGTTGTAGTAAGTCCAGCAACAGCACCAAAGCTGATTAACACAGACACATATCTCATGCCCCTTGTAGTAAAAGCCTCAGCTAAAGGAGCATCTTCTCCGAGAAATTGGTACGGAACCATTCCGGTGAGTACTAAACAAACACCGATATATAATGCAAGACATACTAGGAGGCTACCGATTATGCCAAATGGTAAATCCCTCTGAAACATGACAAAAAAAATTTTTAGTAAAGTAAACGGAGTTATGTAAGTAAACTTGACTTTGAGATATACCTGGGGTCTCTTGGATTCTTCGGCAGAATTAGCAACTGCATCGAATCCAACGTATGAGAAGAAGACGACAGTTGACCCGGTCAATATTGACTTAAACCCGTTTGGGGCAAAAGGTGTCCAATTTGAGACATCAACCTTAAACGCTCCAACTATGATGACAAAAAGAACAATGAGTACCTGCCGAAAATATCTCATACTGTCAGCTATTTACTGCTAATTATGAAACATAATTCATAACATTCTAAAACATGTAAGAATGTAAGAAGATACATGCGCCGCATAAGCCCTAAAGACAATTATAACTTTCCCCTTTAATCTTAAAATTTGTTATTACATCTTTGACGATGGTTAAAAAAAACCTAAAAAATGATGGTGAAGAAGCACTTAAAGAACACCAACATCACACACTTGTATTTCCATATAAGCCAGTAATATTCAATAATACGCAGATAAAAAAGGGAAGAAAAAAAATGCGAAGAAACTAAGTTCACCTTTGTAACTGTCATGATTGAATTCAATATCGAAGATTCTCCGACACCCCGACAAAGAACCACAGTCAGAAGAATTAGGAGTATAGGAGCTAAAATATTAATCGAAAAAGGTCCGAAAACTTCTTCACCATGGCCCACCCAACTCGGGATATTATCCTTGAGGAAAGGAATCAACTCTAGTACAGTTACCACATAGCTAGCTAAACTACGCGCTATACTTGCAGCACCGATATGATAATCGAGCATTAACTGAGCAAAGACGAGAAAAGCAGTTAGCTCGTTGAAAGCTGTGTATGTGTACAGATATGCTCCTCCGACAACTGCTGGAAAACGTGTTGACAGCTCAGCGTAACAGAGTGCGTTCAGCACACAAGCTAAACCTGCTATTGCGAAACTAATTGTAACCCCTGCATTGATGAGTTATAGGGGATGAGAACATCGTTGGATGGAATCGAAACAACGCCGTTCGATTTTTTCGTAAGATTTTCGTATAGAGGATGACTTTTGCAAAATTAATCGATTATGAATCATAGTTGTAATTAGATGCAAAATCTGAACAATAAACTTTTTTCCCCAATTTCTGCTATGGCATTTATTGATAAAGCCTACTGATATAGATCAAACATTGTATTATTACTTAATACTGAATCAAATTCAAATGCAATTGAAATTCAAATGAACCAGGAAAGAAAAAAAAAAGGAATCAAAACCACTGACCTGGACCAGCATCGCGAGCAACGGTGCCGGTGACGACGAATATACCGGCGCCGATGGAAGCGCCGATGCCGAGTAGAATCAAATCGAAGAGGCCAAGTCGTCGGACGAGTCCGTCGCCGGAATTGAAACGGACGGCGATATCCACCGCCGGAGATAGGGGTTTCGATCGGAGTGCCGACGAGCAGAAACGAGAGAAGAAAGAAGACGACGGCGACGATGAGGAGGATGACGTCATTGCTGAGTTCAGCTCAATCTACGTGCGGTGATAAACAACCGTGGGAAAATTGAGGACCTCGTTTTTTTTGGGTATATAGAGATGGGGGGAATCAAATGTACAACCACTTAACCGTGAGGTACTACCAACAAAGCTTTACTGGTACGAACGTTCGAAATTGATTGAACAGTTATTGTTCCGTGTTTGGGCAAAGTTTCTATTTTGCACGTTTTGCCCATTGGTGAAAATACACGTGGCATAGTTTGAAGGTACACTGTTTTATATTTAAAATTAATTGAAAATACTATTATGATTTTACGTTGTAATTAATTATTTTAATCTTACTACTAAGGCGGTGTTTACAAATGATTATTTAAAAGCAGAAGTTAATGATTGTGAGTTAAGTCGGTTTTAAGTGCTTATTTCTAAAAGTTGGCGGTGTTTGCGATTATTCCGAAAAATGAACTTAAATAAAATAGTAAGGTTAGCGGTGCTTTTAAAAAAATCTTAAAACAAATTATTTTAAGAGAAGCAAAAGCAAAAATTGATTTTGCAAACATCTGAAAACAGATTATGAGCAAAAAAAGCTCATAATCACTTTCAAAAATCTTTTGCAAACACCACCTAAGACTTTCTGAAACTAAAATACAAAAAATCAAAATATAAGTCTAAGGGACCTGTTTCGGCAAGCTTATTCTAAATAACTGATAAGCTTTGATAAACTCTTACGTCTTATTTTCAGAATTAATTTTTACATCAAAAAATTCTTATTTGCTCTCCACCGGCCTATTTTTGAATTTTTAATCTTTTTCTGAAAAAACTACCAAGCACTTTTGAAAAAATTATAAACTCTTTTTAACAGCTTATGAGCTCAGCAAAACACCCTCTAAGAGCCCGTTTGACTAAGATTATTTTAGATCTTTTATAAAAATATTGCCAAACAATTTTTAAGAGCTTATAAGTTATTAAACATCTTATAACATATTTTGAACAACTTATAAGCTTAGCCAAACATACTCTGAATATCTGCTTAATTGCTAACTTAAGCAAGAGCCAATTGCTTTGACATTCCCACAAAGCTCAAAAGCTAAATCTTTAACAACTCCACGTCAGCATCAGAAAAACCAAAGACTCAAAAAAGAAAAAAACTCAGCAAAACAGAGTTCAGGCTAAAAAAAATGTAACTAAAAAAATATATATATATCAAACCAAAAACCTTCACTGGGACCGGCCTTCAATTTATATACGAGACGAGACCCCCGTTTCTCGAGATATAATTTATGTATATTCCGACCTAAGATTCAAGACTGATGCTGCTCCAAATTACGAAGAACAATGCGAGAAAATATCTTGGCCTCTATCGGTGCACCTGCGGCTGCCGCAGCCACACGCAACAACCGTGGAGCTGCAGCCTTCTGGAGAAGCCCTACGTGGTGCATCGCATGCCGTCCCCCCGGGATTGTGAACTGCCGTCGAGAAAAAGTCAGCAAAAATTCTAGACAGTTCCGATACGCTATATACACACACACACACACACACGAGCACATTGTGCACAAGGAGAATTAATGTGATTCATCTAATACCTGAAGAAGAGCAAATGCAGCACACGATTTCAGTGTAGGATTAGGGTTTCGTAGCATAGCAACGAATCTTCCGATTTCAGCTCCACTTGAGTAAATAAAATAAAAGAAAAAGAATCAGCAGAAAATTGCACATGTAAAACAATATACAGTAGAACCTCGATAAATTAATAAGCTCGCTTAAATAATAATTTCTTTCGGTCCCGGCTCGGTAAAAACGTACTAAATTATTAGTTCGATAAATTAATAATTTCGCTAAATAAATAGAATTTCACTAGTCCCGACTATATTAATTTATAGAGGTTTAACTGTATAATGTATATAATGCCATATTGTAGAGAAGAAAATTTATGGCCTAGAAAAATCAGTTGGATTTATAGAGAACGAAGAAAATTCAAGAAAAAAGCTCAACGGTTCATAAACAACATGCAATACATGCATACATATATATATATACAGAAGTGACGTATGATTACATTTAAACCTAGACCCCTCAGGTTTGAGAAATTACATTAACCTCCGCCGAAGATTTGATTTGGCAACCTAAAATTCAAGAAATGACGTTTATACCCTCGTGAAAGTAACGTATGATTACATTTAAACCATTTTACGTTTAGAAAATTAACATTACCAAAAGTAAAACCATACTAGACTAGGACTACTTAAAAAAAGGGTAAATTACACCTAGACCCCTCAGGTTTGAGAAATTACATAAACCCCCCATGAAGATTTGATTTGGCTAAAACTCCACCCCATGAATCACGAAATGACGTTTCTACCCTCGTGAAAGTTACGTATGATTACATTTAAACCCCTCTAAGTTTTAGAAAACTACTAAAAAAAATGGGATTTGAGAGAGAACCTGCATCTCAGATGACCTGCTTCTTCGATACGAGCAGATTCCGTTACATGAGTTAACGCAGCAGGACCCACTGAAGCAGCAGCGGCAGAAAATGCTCGAATATCAGAAAATGTCATAACAAAAGCTTCGATATTTTTCAGTGCCATTCTTCTAGCCCCATCTAGGTTCACACTCTTGGAAGTGCCCTCAGTCGACGTTGTTCCTGTAGGGGCAATATCGTCCATTCTGCACAAACGAAAAAAAAATGCGAACTCTCTTTTACTTAATGATAAAATTAGCCGACACTAAAATTTTAAATAAAATAAAAATCGAATACCTTCCATCAAACATGTAGGAAAGTGCTAATGCAGACATAAAACGTGCCATTTTCGATAAAGACGAAGAACAAAGATGTACTAGGGCAGGAACACCTCCTTCTTCTACAATGCGAAGGGCATTTCCGGAATTGAACGCAAGATTCCAAAGAGCCCCTGCAGCTGTCTCGTGCACATCCTGTAATAAATAAATAAAACATTTAAGCGTTTATCAAGAGGGTTAAATTATGTGCAAGAATCTTTAATAGAAAATGCATGGGTAAAGTTATGAGGTTTCTAGTGTTGACCATTTTGAAAATCTATACAGATAATATTTGTAAAATTACCACAGCATTTGATCGAGCCAACGCTATTAGTGGGGCCACGCCTCCTTCTCGACCAATAGCAATGCTATATTACACGTAAAATTATCCGTTAGTAACAAATAAAAGCTAAATATTCACCAAATGCAATTGAACATTTAAATAGAGTACATAAGCTTATTTAAATATATATATATATATATATATACGAGCTTACCTATTTGCTTCTGACACAGACAATCCCCAAAGAGCACCCGCAGCTCTCTCTTGGAGGCCATGTGAGGCATTTGAGCACGAATGTGCTAAAGCAACCTAAAAACAAGACGAAAAATAAATCAATATATATATATATATATATATATATATATATATATATATATATATATATATATATATATATATATTTTAATGATAGTAGAAGCTTTCGGCAAGTAATTCAACAAATATTTTTTTTAATACATATAAAAAGGTCGTACCAATGCCTCAACTCCGCCAGCTGTGGCAATCGCTTCTCGATTTCTGTCGTGAAATGATAAATTCCATAATGCACCCGCAGCTTCTTGCCTATAACAATCAATATTCAGACACAAAAAAAAAAAATATATATATATATATACATATAATAATAATAATAAATTAATCTTTCATACGACATGTAAAAAAACTTTGAAGACGGAAATCAAATTACTGAAACTTTTGACAGGTAATAATATCATTACCTAACACCATCATGAGGTGCGCGAGTAAGTTGCACAAGAGCATCAATTGCACCTGCCTCTTTTCCTACGGCTGTATTGTTACTATTGCTATCACCATGCGCAGCTAAATTCGCCAAAGCTCGAGCTGCCTGGGTAATAATGGGACCCACAATTAATTAATCGGATGATATTTACGCATAGTGCCATTATGTATTAGGCCTCATTTGGTTCCTAAGATAATATTAGTCAATATAAGATCCGATTCATGGTATAATTATAGATAAAAAAAAAAAACGGGTCGACCCGGAAAATTATTGGGTTTACCAAACATCAAATAAAGTCCAACTATTTAGTTAATCATGGCTAATCTCTCTCGACCAAACGAGGCCTAAGTGTTGAAGTTTATCATATGAGCATTTCTTGAAATGCCACCATATAGTTCAATATTGATCGAACTATTTCACAAAAATGCCACTCACTTCTAGACCGAAAAAACCGACAAAGACAGTGCACAACTCATTGATACAAGGGATTTTACTATTTTTTTTACAATATTGAAACATAATATAGGGTTTGTGTACCTATTAGTTGAAGCAACGGCCTTGAACTAATGTATAATATTCATTGGCATTCATTTAAAAAATAAATAAATAAATCCCACCTGCTCTTGAACTCCTTCGATTTTGCAATTCCGAGCTAGTGTCACTAAAGCATGTACACCACCCATGGAAGCAACTGCAGTGCTGCATTTCTCATCTGCTGCAAGATTTGCCAATGCACCGGCTGCCCGTTCCTAACAAATATCATAAGAAAAAATGATTAAATAGTGATCTGTCGATTTTGGTACACCGTAATAAAAAAAATATAATAAAAACCGAATCTTGAAAAATGTCGAACATACCAAGACTCCTTCACCGCAACTAGACTGTGACCACTTGTATATAAGGTCGACCAGAGCTTTTACTCCACCAGCTTCGGCAATAGCACCCTACAAATAATTTTATTTCGCAACATAAGCATTTAATTATATAACAATATTGCAAGAAAAAATAAATATAATAAATAAATAAAATAGAATAAAAACCTTGTGCTCTTCACCAACGGAGAGGTTCCACAATCCTCCAGCAGCTTCTTCAGCGACCAATCGATTAACAGACCTAGCAAGATTTACGATAATGCCAATGCCGCCTTCTTCAGCCACAAATTTCGCAACTTTAGCATTCACCGATAAATTTGCAATGGCCTACATGAAAAAACATCAATTGTGAATTGATAATAGATAGAGCTTTTCAACACTTTGAGAAATTGATTATTTCGCAATTCTTGAAATTTGTACCTCCGACAAAGCAAAAAAAAATATTACAAGAGCAAGGATACGGTGACAATATCATAAAATGAAATCCCAATTAAAATCCAAGCAAAAAATTTCGAGTTTGGGAGTAAAATCCCTAAAATCTTGAAAATATACGAAATTATTACAATTTTAACGATTTTAAGTGGGGTTCATAATCTGGCTAGAAATCATTTTTTTTTGGGCCAGACTCAATTTTTCCGCTTCAAAACAAGTGAAGCTCAATTAAAGCCGAACCATTTTCAACACTCCCAACGAACGTTTTTTTCATTCAAGCAGCAACAAATGTCCAAGAAACGAATCCAATGGAAAACAAATCACCAAAAACACGTGTCTTATTTATGTTGTTGAACACTTAATTCACGTTGGAAGATGGTTTATACACGTAAATGAGACATAAATTAAAGCTACCTTAGCAGCTTCGGATTGAAGACCCTCATGCCAAGATCGAGCAAGATCTAGGAGAAGGCGTAAGCCGTTATTCTGCATAACCGCTTCAGCTCGTAAAGGATCGATACTCGCGCTCTCATCGTCGGTCACTACAAAAGTTGCAATAGCCGTAGCTGCCCTTTCTTGAACCTCCTCGTTCGAACTCTGCACAAGGCTAAGCAACAAAGGCGCACCTTGCTTGAGCCAGAAGTTATCCAATCCAGGTGGATTGCTCTCGGAAATACGTAGAAGCGAATTCGACACAATCCACTCCAACCAATTTAAAACCTCGTCCAATCTCTTATCCTTCTCCGAATTTCTCCAATGCAGGAAAATATTAGTTTCATTCTCTTTAAGAATGTCGCTGAAGATGGAAACTAGCACTTTACCTTTATGGTTATAGTTATTATAGACGAAAGTGGGGTCCGCTTCGAGTAAAGGACAATTCAACGCGCACAACACCTTCAAGCTGAGTGACGACGAGAAGAATCTCGAAACGTTACTCGGGCTAATGTCTGTTCTAGAAACATCCAAGCCGATTAGATGAGGCAGCACGAACAAGCTCCATTTCATGTTGGTGGACCCCGCGAGAGAGAGAAACCGAAGCGAAGCGATGTTCCCCAAAGCAGCTTCGTCCACCTTCCGACAGTCGATAAGTCCAATATCGTTCAAATTAGGACAATTCCTCGCCAAGGCATTGATTGCACTAGCATCCACTTCTTGAATCCCCGAGATCCGAAGCTTCTTCAGTTTAGGACAGCAAATCGCGATCGCTCTTACAGCGTCGCTGCTGATTCTCTCGCAGAAATCCGGTCCGATTTGAAGGCACTCTAAAGCTTCGTGGCGAGCCGCGAGCACGCACAGGGTCGAATCGGTCATTTTCCTACAAGAATCACCGCTAATCTCTTTCAAATTCTTGGCTTTAAGGCTTATTACAGCATCGGCCGAATCGGGGCCTCGGAAATAAAGCTTCTGGAGATTCTTACACCGAGAAGCGAGCGACGAGGTGGCGGTGGGGTCGCATTTGTGGGCCCGGAGATCCAATTCTTGCCACAAGCACGGCGATTTACCGACGGTGCGCCATGTTCGGCATGTAGAGGATAAACTAGCACGGTCCCGATAGTTCAGGAGAGAGAAAAGCTGAATCATTGTATCATCGGGCAACCTAGTCCAATCGAGCTCGTCTTTTTCGACGATATCGACTTTCTCTACTCCCCTCCTAACAACCTTTCTACGCACTCTTCTACTCATGCTTGATTCAGTTTTACTTACTACACACAATACAATAACCTATTCGATTTTGATAATCATGATCAAAAGAAAGCACAACTCTTTCTCAATTACCAACTTACACATCGATCAAAGACTACAACTTTTAACAAAACTATTGATCAAGAAACATACCACCCATATAAATAGTAACTTCAAATTTCAAAACCCAAAATGCTGAAAAGATTAAAGCTTCCTAAAATTGGGGTGAAATTGGCAATGCCCTAATTACTGAATCCCCACTCTCTACATGTTTAAGCAGAACCCTAATCAAGAAAATGTGAGATTAAAAAGAAAGAAAAAAGATATATCGACGATGAAAGAAATTGTGGCGCAGCCCAATCAAGAAGGGCAATAACTCGTTTTCTCCTTCAATCAGTGAGAAAATAAATATGTGTTCTTCTTAGCCCTGTGGGCCCTTTTGGAAAACCTTTATAAAGCTCCAGTCTTGACAATTAAATCGATTGCGGCGTTTATATAGTGATGCATAGCAAGATACAGATGTGAAAAAATGATTATTTCATTTTACCTCAGCATATGATGTATAGATACGTGTGTGTATATATATGTATGTATGTGTGTGTGTGTGTAGGGAGGGAGAATAGAGATAAAGAAAAGGGAGGAAGGGTTGGAGAGAATTCAGGCAAGTATATCAAACATGTGAGTGAAAGCGGATTATTTCTATGCTACACCTACACCCGGTGATTACATTATATCGGGTATTTTTTTACCGTTGATTTACACACACTAATGTGGATATGTGTGGGCGTGTGAGTTTGTGCGTAAATGAATGGTATAGATCTAACCAGTGTATTTCATTCGGTGTAGCGTAGAATAAACCGTGAAGACGAAGCTAAAACCCGAAAAACTATTTGTCCACTATTTTTCTCTCTCACGCACACACGCACACTATTATAAGTGTCAATAGTGTATTACAATTTACAAATAAGGAGTGATGAAGGTGATCAATGAGTGTTTGGACAATTCAAGAAATGTGCAATTACTTCGTTTTGATAATGCCACTATAGTTTTCAAACGTGGTTTCGACCATTTTTTAGGCTGGATTTTCTCAAATTTAAAACACGTGATTTGTAGTTATTTGAGTTAGCTTTTTAAATCCAACTTGAATCGCCAAATTGGACGTCAAATGAGAAAAATATGCATGTATTAGTGAACATTGCTCACAATTTTGATGTTATGAGTTTTCCAAAATTTAAACTGTAACTTCACTGATGCATAACTTTGTCACCAACATCCAATTCAACTTATTCAAATTTGCTAAGAAAGCTATTCCAAAGGAGTACATTTTTTGTGATTTGAAATTTGCCAAATTCAGATTAGAAGACGGTCAAAATCGCGTTCGAAGTCAAAACTGTATTACTAAAATTTTGGACGACATTTCAGTTATCGTATATACCTCTTTAAGGTAACAAACAATGATCTAATTGTTGGAATAAGGGATATTTCCTTCTCCCGAAGTCTCCGGACTGATCTAGGATTCGATCTTGATTATGTGATCTTCACGCAAGATGTACGTTCTTCCCTTATCTTTTTACAAAGAATATCTTTCGTATCAGCCTCTACATCAGCTCGGCATCACGTATTGTTTAAAGCATATAGGCGAACTCGTAAGTGAACTAGCACTCCATTGACCGGCGATCTTCGTCTCGTCCGCAAACTGTTCATTCCGATGAGTTTCCCAGCTTATTTAACTTTTATTGGGCTTTCGTCCCAATATCTTCGCCTTGGCATATGTAAGAAATTTCAACAGAATTCAGCCCAATAAGAGACTATCTATATTTTACACATGTTGAATGGGCCAAATTAATTTCTGATTTTAATTGTTTTAAAATAAAGTCAATATTAAAATTTATTTTACAAATACTACACCACTCCAAATTTATCTATTTTTACGGTTCCTTCGACCCTACACCCGGTGATAAATACTGGGTGGGTCTTCTGCTGGCACGTGTCCTTTTTTTTATTTTTCTAAAATCCCTAAAGGTAAACCCTATAGGAGAATATATTATAAAATACAAAAAAGAGACACGTGGCAGCAGAAGACCCACCCGGTGTTTATCACCGGATGTAGGGTCGAACAAATCTATTAATTTTTTCAAAATATTTTGCAAACATCACTCCAGATTTATCTCATAATAATATCGAAATGAAACTAATATATTCTTATTCAAACCGTAATTGCAGAATTCCTTTTTTGCCCCTTCATTATTATTTCTTACAAGTTCTAAAAATAATTTCGAAATTCGATTTCTTTTAAAAAAAAAAAAAAAAAAAAAAAAAAAACCCGAAGGAAACATCACTAGGTGAATTCAATCTAAAATATTTAAAAAATAATAATAATAAATAAATTCATTTTATACCTATTTTTATATTTATTTAATGCATAATTAACAAATGTACTTGAGGCATAAGTAAAATAAAAATAATTTACTAATAATATATATACCCATTCAAAAATCCTTAAACCCTGGTCTCCATGAAAAGACTATGTTACTGCTACTCCGCCGAACCACCACCACCACCGCCGCCGCCGCCGTCGTCGTATTCTCTCGATTCTCCTCCTCCACCACCGCCGCTTCAAACCTCCCCAAACCCTTCTCCCAAATCCCATGGAAACACAGGTCTAAAGCCATCCAGGAATCCCAAAAAGCCCTCTCCGAATACCTCCACACCACGCGCTCTCTCCCCTTCCCCTACGCCGACAACATCGCCAGAAATTCCCCCAATTCTCTCTCCAGAATCGTGTCGGAAATCCCCTTCTCGCCGGCGACTTTCGAGAACTCCTTCCAGCGATTCCTCAGGTACCACCCAGTTAACGAGCTCGAATTTTTATCAGAAAGCATCGGTTTGAACTCCGAAGAAAAAATTACCATTTTACCCCCAAACACTTTTTTTCTCTCCGATTGGAAGCATTTCGATGTTGTTTGTGCTCTGGCCGGGTTGGGTTTCCCATGGATTAAACTGGGCTCACTCTGTAAAGAGCTGCTCGAAATCGACCAGTGGCAATTGCGTAATAAAATTGCCGAAATCAAGGGTTTCTACGGGTTCAACAGCGTCTGCGTGATTAGTATTTGCTTGGTTTTCCCTCGGGTTCTATACGATGAGATGGATGGTTTGCTAACCGATTTGAAAACACTATTCTTGGATTACGATTTATTGAGTTGCGTGGAGGGCAATGTGGATTCAATGCTCGATGTTTGCGAAAAGATCAAGACTTTTTACGACTTGGGTTGTGAAATGGGGAAGATCGGCGAATTGATGGGGCGAAGCAAATCGATTTTCGTCGAGTACTCGAAAGAGGGGTTAATTAGCAAAATCGACTACTTTTGTAAATTGAACGTACAAAAGGATCGAATCGGGTTGTTCCTTCTTTCGAGACCGGAGTATTTCGGGTTCGATTTGGAAAGTCGGGTTATTTCAGTTTCGGGTTTCTTGAAACACTTTGGATTGAACGAAACCGAAGTTGAATCTCTCGAGAAAAAGTACCCTCACGTTTTCGGAAGGAATCGAATAGCTAATATGCCTCATATTATGAGGTCGGTTAATTTAGGCGAATGGTTTTTCGAGAGGCTGAAAAACGAGAACCCGTCGCTTTTGGATCGTTACGCGATTAGCTGTACGGAGGATTTGGACAAGCACTACGCGGACAATTTGACGAAAATACGAGCTAAGAGAACGTACGCTCACGGTTTAAAGAAATTGAATTTCTTGCACAATATAGGGTTTGGGGAAAATAGGTTTGCGATAAAGGCGTTGTTTTTATTAAATAGTAGTAGCTGCCAACTTCAGAGGCGATTCGATTGTTTACTCCGATGCGGGATCGAGTACTCGAGTCTTTGTGCGATGGTGAAGCTGTCTGCGAAGATTCTGAACCAGCAAGAATCGATTCTTGAAAAGAAGATAAGATTCCTATGCAGCGATATGGGCTCTTCTCTGCAGTACCTCGATGTTTTCCCGGGGTATTTGTGTTACGATTTGGAGAAACGAATCAGGCCGAGATTCGAGCTGCACAGGTGGCTGATGGAGAAGGGCTACTGCGAGAAGGAATATTCCATTTCGACTATAATTGCGTCGAGCGAGAAGGCGTTTGTGGCTCGTATTTCTCGGATTCATGAGGGCGCTGCGAAGAAGTGGGAGGAGGGTTTGAGTGAAAGAGATGGTGAGTTGGGGTGTGGAGAGGGGGCGGCGGCCCCCTAGTTTTGATGGAGGTGATTTTGTGTGCATATATTTTCTTGTTGTATGAGTCTCTTTAACTTGATTTTGTAACACATGTATAGTGGGAAAATGTGTTTGGCTATGGTTTTGAGAATAATTTCGTAGACTCCGATTTGAAAATTTTCGATTTTGGAATAATATTTTCATTCCAAATTTCCGAAAATTTGGATTTTTGATTTTTTTTTTTCAATTTCTTTATCGGCATTGGGAATTTATATATGGAACTACAATTTCGATCGGATTTTAATTTATGTAAATGATTCAAAAAAAAAAGATTCAATTTTTTTTTCACAGAAAACTACACTTATTATATATCAATATCGTTATGTAATTTATATTATAGGTGAATAAAATAATATACTTTTTTGTATCCATTGATACCTATATAGCACGGAAACGGTTATACGGGAAATGACATGTTCTAAAAATGGGGATACTGGAACTTGGGGAAAACGTATAATTATTAAAAGTATAAGGGTTTATTTATAAATATTCTATATGAACATGTACTATAAGGTTTCCGGCATATGTCTTCGAGTTTCTGACACGAAACGTTTTTTGCAACGTGGAAACGTTGCTACTGATCCGAAAAGTTCTGATTTTGGAATAAGTTTTTTTGTTCTAGTTCTTAAAATTTCAATTACCGATTTTTCTCGAAAACGGAATTAGAATCGAAGACGGAGTTGCTTTTGGGCTTTCTGGCCTGGTTAATTCTCCTGGCCCGAACCCATGCTTGATATCCCAAACTCGATGATATGATTTACATAGGGAAAATTACATTTTTGGTCCATCAAATTTCTTATTTTCACATTTGGTCCCTCGTGTTCACAAAAAGCACTTAGTCTCACATATTTCAATAATTCAACACCTTTAATCCTTTATATAAATTTTCCATTAATACTAACAGAATCAAGCATGTAGTCATCACTGTCTAACTGACGAACTAACAATAAATTGAAGAAAATAACCTAAAATGTTAAATTATTAAAACACGAAGAACTCAAATTTTTTTTATGAGCAAAAGGGACCAAATGTGAAATTAAGATCAACTTAAGGAACGAAAAGTGCATTTTTTCCCATCAACATAATATAACAAGTTACAAGAAGTTCAATGTGAAGTTACTAGCAAACAAAAAAATAATATTTTTTATTTCACAAAATGAATTATTTGCATTATTAAATTACAAAAAAAAAAAATACTAGGAATATAAAAATCAATTTAATTGAATATTAACCTAATTAGGGCAAAATACTGAATTTGCTCACAAATCCCTCTTCCTTCGATTGAGTCGTGTGTGTGCCTTTGTGTATGTGTGTGTATGTATATTATATATATATATATATATATATATATATATATATACATATATATAATATTTCTTAACCTTTCTTCTTCTCCACCTCACTGCCCTTTCACCTCTTCTCTGCAAACTTATTCTCTCTCTCTCTCTTTCTCTCTCCTTTCACCTCTTCTCTGCAAACATATTCTCTCTCTCTCTCTTTCTCTCTCCACTCTCTCTCTCTCTCTCATGGAAAGAGCCTTTCTTCTGAGAGTTCAATTCATTTAACCCATCAACTACTGCATCCACCCACTCAAAACACCCACATTTACATGCACTTTTTTTTATTCGGATTTCGATTTGTGTGTGTGTGTGTGAAATTCATTATTCCGATGCAACTTCGCCGGCGATCACGCGTCATATAGGGGTTTTTTACTCTCCTTTTTCGATTTGTGAATCCGGTGGAATTAGCCGGTGACGGTTTTATCTGAAATCCATCGGTGCCGTTTTGAAGAGCGTTGGTTGGTTTTACTGCTATGGCGTCCCCCTTTCCTGCGAAATCTCAGACGCTGCACAATTTTACCCTGCAGCATCTCCGATGGAACAAGGACGGTCAATCCAGCGGCGGCCATCCCCACCGCCGCCGCCGCTCCGTCAAATCTCCGTCGAGGAGACCTAGCCCTTCCTCCGCTTCTCCTGTCCGCCAGTCTCCGTTCCGGGACTCCGTCTCGTCGACCCCGCCTCGGTATCAGTCTCCGCTGCGAGATTCGGCTGCTGCGGCGGCGTCGCCGCCGCCGCCGCGGAAGTATTCGGATCAGTTGAGAAAGAAGTCTCCGACCGGCGGAGAATCATCCAAATCGTATCAAGTCGGAGGGTTTGTGAAACCCTCACCAATTGGTGCTGGCGGTAATCGTGTACGGCACTTCCCCAGCCCTGATTTGGCTCCGCCGCCGGAGCCTTCAGGCAAGGGTAAAGCTTCCACAATTGAGCACCGAAGAAATCATCATCCGAAGAATTCGCCCTTCGATAATCCAAAGAATGGGGTTTATTCGACACATTCCGATCGACCTTCTCACAAATTCGAGACGAAACCCAGGGTGAAAGAAGCCGATGCATCTGGAATTAAGAAATCGAAAATCCTAATCAAAATCCCCCCTCGCAAGAACAGCAACAACAAAACAATCGAAGATCCTCAATCAGAGCCACCAAAACCCCCCGACAGTAACACCGAAAAAATCGACGAAGCCGAACAGATGCGAGAAGAGGGGAAGATCAACAATGCTACTGATGAAGAAATCAAGACATGGAATTTGAGGCCGCGAAAACCTATTCGGAAATCCTCGAATGTGAATGGAGGTACCTCGGTGAAAAACAACGGCGCCCGCGCCGATATTCCCATGCCGGAAAAAATCAAAGCCGAGTCACCTTTACAGAATCCGAACAGCAGATCGATGGAAAATAAATTGAATCCCGGTGAGAAAAAGGAGAAGCGGAAACTGAGTGTTTTTGTATCTCTATCCAAAGACGAAATCGAGGAGGATATATTCTCTCTCACTGGATCAAAGCCTGCACGAAGGCCAAAGAAGAGAGCAAAGAATGTACAGAAACAAGTAGATGTAAGCCAATCTTGAGTTCGTGTTTCTTAACCCGTGATTTGTTCATCTAATTTAGAACAAAGTATATTTATCTTTCTTCTTTTTCGATTGCAGTCTATTTGTCCCGGATCTTGGCTGGTGTCGATAACCGCAGATTCGTACAAGGTATCCGAAAATTCAATGAAGGTATAATCTTGATCTGTTATAATCAGTTCTTTGTTTCGATTATCCGTGTGTTAGTTAGTTTGGCTTACTTACTGAATACTGATACAGAATGAATGTGATATATGTATATATATACAGGGTTAGATACAATTAACTGGAGAATACGATGCTGCTGCCATTTTCGTCTGAATTTTGGTGATGCCGTTCGAAGGTACAATCTGCAGAGTTTGTATTTGAAAGGAACGAATAAATGTCGATTAGGAATTTATAATTTTCTTTTCTAGATGCTCTTAAAAAAAATCAAGAGCTGGATGATAGATAGCTCTTCTTGTTTATCAGTAGTGGCAGTTGTAAATATGAATCTTCTCAATCTTAATCTTAATCTCAAAGATTTTTCATTTTTTCATTACTCATTTGGTGTTTTTTCATTACCTGTTTTGTTTGTTCAATGTTTCCTTCTAGACATAGTTGAGTTTCTCACACACACACACACACACACACACACACACACACACACACACACACACACACACGCATATTTTGGCAACAAGTAATAATGGATGGCTTGACTTTTGAGATGAAGGAGAGAGTCTTTGCTCTGTTTTGAATTGGTCATGTGTTGTTCAAGATTGGGGGTTTGTTGATTGACCCCCATTTGATTTTGTATAAATTTCAAGTGGCTATTACAACTTGTGATTATTACATGATCTCTTTCATCATGTTTTGCTAAACCGATCTCTCTCTCAAATTCAAATTACGGCCACCTCTGAGGTTAGGTCAGATTTCGAAAAAATTCCCTCTTGTTTGGGCAATTACGACCGCCAGTATGTCAATTTAACACGTGTAAGAAAATGTATAGTTGAAGATGGTGGTTGTGTTGTAATTACCTAAAAAGAAGGATCATTTTTCTTCGTAATTTGACTTCATCTCAGGGGTCACCGTAATTTGTCATTCAAAATAAATGACTGTATTTCAATCAAAACAAATTTAGTATGTGAAATAAGTTGACTATCACATGGGATTTACAAAGAGGCAGAGGAATACTTGTGCGAAAAGTCAGGGGAAAGGTTGAGTAGATGGAGTCAATTATGATTTTCCTTTATAATAAACAAACAATTATGATTTTTTTTTTTTAAATATTTATAAAAATCAAGTTAATCGAAGTTCGACGATTATTTTTCGAGCTTGATTCGGTTGATCATAAAATTCTATTAATAATTTATTTTGTTTCTCTAACGGGCACATATTCGAATAGGGATCCAGGCTCATAAGCTGATTTTCGGATGAATTTGTCTAAACACGAGATTTAACCCATTTAATACATAAACTAAAGTATTGTTTCGATTGTACTAATATAGTTTTGAAATTGAATGTGATTATGATACCCTTTTCTATTTTTATCTCGGCCAAAAATCATGTGACAAAGTTATGTATCTTTTGATTACTCGATATCGAATCTTGGTGATTAAAGTTAGATTAGAAAACTAACTCACAGAACTACAAGTTCCTTTTATTTGTGAATTTTACCAAATTCAGATTGAAAATGATCGAAATTACGTTTGAAATTAAAACGGTGTGACATTTATCACCTAAAACCATCCAACCCGACCCGTTTAAGTCTAAATTCATACATACCCGTTCTAAACCCGAATTAAACGGGTCGGAAAAGCCCACTTCAAAATTGGATATATACCTACGTAAACAGAAAGCCCATCAGCCCAATATGAGCTGCAGTTGAGAAAAAAAGGCAGAGTTTTTTTTCATGGAAATATGAAATGGAGGAGAAAGAGGAGCTTAGAGCGGTGAAAGCCGATGGGTTAGTTATAGATGAATATTGGTGGTGGACCGCCGCCAGCGCCGCTCAATTTGGTTGGGGGATTTCCAAATTCAGAAGGGGCTTCGCCGGAGACTCGCATCTCATGCCCTTCAAGGCCGTCGCCGTCGCTTCCCTCTTGGTCGGCGGCGCCGCCTCCGCCGCCGTCGCCTCCCTCCGCGTTTTCGGTGTCCGATCGGTCAGATTTTATTGATTATTACTTGTTAGCTCACATGATCCTAGGGTTTTGTGGCATCACCAATTTTATAGGTGTTAAATTTGAGATTTTTATATAATCACAGCAATTAAAATTAGGGTTAGCTCATAAGAAAATAATATAAGCATATTCATTATTTAAAAATAAAAAATATATATATTTTTAGTTGTCGATCGGATTTGAATAAGAGTATTGATAGTTTCTTCGAAGTGAGATCATTCATTGAGATGGTTCGAGAACAACCGGTGTAGCTCGAATTCTCATACATTAAGATAACCATATTTATCCTCGAAAAAGGCCATTTGGTTGCCAAGATAAGCCAAGATTAACTAAATAGTTGGACTTAATTTGATGTTTGGTATCCCAATAAATTGCCGGGTCGACCTGCTAAAATTATGTAATCATGGCTTATCTTGCCTTCTAGTGTGTTTTTTTTGTTGGACGTCGCGAGCTCCAATAAAATAATTGCGTTTCATTAGACTATTTAATCTTATCTTGGCTAATCTTATCTTGCCAACCAAACAGGGTCTGAGTTATGAATTTAGAAAACCTCTAAAATCTTGTAGAATTAAGATTTGAAACAATAAGATTTGAACTAAGATTTGAAACAACGGTGTCAATTTCAACAGAACCCCGTTTCAGCAAATTATATAGGATGCAAAGGAAACGGAAATGATGATTTAAAGTTGCCCCGTTTTCCTCTGCCCTGTATTTCTCTTTGTTATGAATTACAATTTTTTTTTTGAGATTTCCGTATGCCGTTTTCGAAGAAGCTATTTTGATCCTTTTTTCCTCGTCAAATCCGGCTATTGTTATCAATTATCATTAATCAAAGAGAAATGTTGTCGATTACATAAATTCGATTGTTCTTTGTTGTGCATAATCAGCATCTAATCGTTCCTTATTTGTTCTGCTCGAATAATTTGATGATCGTGTTTGCTCGATAATAATACGTGCAGGTGGAAGATGCGAAGTCATTAGGCAGAAATGTAAGGACTGGGCTAGGGGTACGCCCTAGGGGCACTTGACGAGTATTCCGTTTTTCAATTTATCGAGGAATTACAATTAAGCTATTTCGCGTTTGATGATGTATAAGAAATCGCAGATGAACTATATTTGTTTAGCTGTTAAAGCGGATTATTGTGGTCTTTTTCTTTACGAAATATGATACTACACCCAAAAAAATTGCTATTGCCAGCACAAAACGAAATCAAGAAAATGATAAACTTTCAATCCATAAAATTTCTTCAAATCGAACCCAAAATTTTGTGGTCTCTCATTCACGCGAACAACGCACCAAATTATTCTCGAAATAACCAGCTAATCCCCAAAAACCACGGTCGTCAACATAATAAAAAAGATTAAAAGGTAAAACGTTCGCCAAAAAAAAATGGACCATCACGAAGAAAACGAATAAAATTAATCGGGACCGTCAATATCTCTCTCTCAAGCTGGCACATAAGACTCGAGCATGAGCTGAGCTGGCGTAGGAGAAGTGACTTCAACAATTAGATACATAAACTTCCATTGCTTGTCCTCTTTGTCTTTGAACATCTCCGAGTAAACTTTCCCCGCCCCATGTGGGCCCCGAACGTGGAAATTAACCTACAATTAACCAATAAATAAAAAATGCCGCATTCTTGAGATATTTTCCGACTATTGTGTTTCAAGAATTTAATTTAATTCAAAATTCAATAAATCGATTCTCAAATAGGAACTTACCACGACATGTTCAACACCATCTTCATCAGTCCATGTTTTGTTGGGAATTCGTTGACGAGCAGCTCGGTTTCTACTTTCTGATCCGTACCCTGTTATGGGAGATCCGATTCTAACCCTAACCTGTTGCATGGCAATAAAATAAGTCGTTTTGTTTTCAAATCTTAATATATTAATTTTCAAAGCAAATGTTATTTATTTTCCTTTCGATGTTAAAAGTGTTGTAGTAATTATAATGTCGGGGGGTTAAAAAATTATTCAAACCACAAAAAATCTTTTGCTCTCGTTAATCGCAGTCCTACAACTTTGTTATCAACTGTGAGTTGGTTTATTGCATTCGATACCCTTGTACTTTTGCTAATTGCTAAAATAAAATCCCCGTGTTATTTTATTAGCAAAACCCCCCTTACGATTCAATTTTTTTCCCCTAAAAACTCATTTTTTTTAAGGGGTTGTGTGCTTAAAAAATGCATTATAAGGGGGTTTCTGCTAATATTTACAACTCCGGTCATTTTTTTAGCAATTCGATATAACACAGGGGTACTAAATGCAACAAGCTCCAAACGATATTCAGGTAATGAAGATCTGTAACTAATGAAAAAGCGAAGAAAAAGATTCACGAAAAAAATTAGAAAATCGAGCGAAACGTACTTGGCTGTCGTTTTGAACCCTTTCCAGAGCCTTGTTGAATATTTTATATCTATAAAAAAAGACATTGTTAATATCATATAAACGAGGGGAAAAAAAAAACAAATTCTGAAAATTGCTACTTACTCCTTTGGTTGAAAAATAAGTTCCTTAAAAACCCCATATGCTGCAGCACCAGCAACACCAAGACCAGCAAGAATTATAAGACTATACGAAGCTCCCTCGGTAAACGTGACTGGTTTTTCTGGGATATTATATGTTGGGGCATCAAATGGATCTTCAACGGTGGATATTTCTTTTCGAGCCTGTCAAAAGAAGAAAGGTACAATAATTCCACTATCAACAAATATTCGTAAATAAATAATAAATTATATAACCAAGTTAAGCAAGTGGTCGTAAATATATCATAAAAACAAAGATTAACGCCAAGTCTAGCATTACAAAGGTCCTAATAAACGATTAACACCATAAATATTCTTCACAACCGAAATTAATTCGCCATATATAATAAAGAAATATATAATAAGTAACACCTGAATCCTGTCTGAAATAAGTTATTCTCTGTATCCAGAAATTAGCACATGCCAAAAATAAAAGTAATGAAAAAATCCAACACTACCTTAGCAGAACAATTTCATATCAGCTTCTTTTAAAATGCCGAATAAGTATTTTGCAATACTAAGTAAAAAATATTTAGAGTATTTTTAACTTTGAAGGACAAACCTCCGATTGTTTTGGTTTGTTTGACTCTGTAGTTTTGGATGCAAAGCATCGAGCAAAGCCAACGCTTGTCATATTTTGTCCAGTGCTTGTGGCAAGTTGAAATCGTGACCGATAGACCAAAGCATTTTGCGGGGTCCACTGGTTTCGGAGTAGGATGGAGTTTCCTGCTAAAATGGTCGCCAATAAATATTAATTGCAATTCACAGAAACTGTACTGAAAGCTACAAGTTTATACGTGATAGGTAAGTACACAAACAAAATTGTTATTTTTTACCTTTTAAAAATATTTCGACTCTTAAAAGTGAATATTTGAAAAATACGAAGAAAAATAAAAATCAAATACATAATAGTGTCGAATCCATTTTTGGTGCAGCACTTTTTCGTATTATGATTTGCGAAAGGAACTTGTGATTTTCAGAAATTATATATATATATATATATATATATATATATATATATATATATATATATATATATATATACACGTATCTCTCTCTAACACTACTCATGTAATGGCTTGAAAAGAAACATGTGTACTAACCTCCAACTTGACGAGCAACCTGCAAAACAAACAGAAGAAGATATAGATTAATCTCCTAACTTTAAGTAATCATTAACTGCGATGTATACTAAGGCCTCGTTTGGTTGCCAATATAAGATTAGTTAAGATAAGATTAAATAATCTAATGAAAACCAAATTATTTTATTGAACCGCAAGACGTCAAACAAAAAACATGCCTAAAAGGCAAGATAATCCATGATAACATAATATTTGCGGGTCGACCCGGCAAGTTATTGAGGACACCAAAACATCAAACAAAGTCCAATTATTTATTTAATAATGGCTAATCTCCCCAACCAAACGAGGCCTATATAATAAGTGCCATTCCAATCATAAACCGATGAAGAAACTGAAACGGATGCTTCTAGTTACTTAAACGTGGCAGAATGTTTTAAAGGGTAAAATTGTCTTTACTATCTGACTACTAACCAACTATACTGTGGATTATCTAGATCAAATTAATTATAGTTACTAAGACAACCAAACTCGAAGTAACCACGGTATAACTTTGTACACACTTCAAATATCCACAATTGAACAAAGTTTAGCCACATATATCGAGAAACTCGAGTAAAAAATCACGACCCTCCAACTACGTACATAAATTCCTAAACATAATTGGGAAATATCAGACACTTTTAGTAAGAACCAATATTCGGGTTCGGATATCAGCCGCTAATTACGCTATATCTGGAGAGTAATACACACCAAACCACCTGCGCAATGACACACACAAACATGCACGCACACACACACACACATGTTTATGTGTGAATAAACGGTAATATGTTACTCGATGAATCATCTACAACACCTTGTAAGCAAAAACAGAAAGGGACCTTACACTAAGAAACTTTGATTTGCATAATTCCATTCATACGAATCTTTCAAGATTCTACGGCAGATGCCGAACGGAAAAATCTGATCAGAATAACTAATTCATGTGCCGTATATCTTATACGAAACACATGATATCTATTTTAGATAGATACAATACGCAAGCAAAATAACCAAAATAGTCTATATATATATAAACAATTCATCATCATAAAACATGCACCAAATATATAAACATATCTCCCCGAAATCAACTAACTATTACGAAATCGAACAATGTGCACCAAATATATATATCTCCCCAAAATCAACTAACTATTACGAAATTGCATAAGGAAAATTAATGCCAATCATCAATTTTAAACAAGAATTAACACACACACACACAAACACACACGCATAAACACACACACAAACACACAAACACACAAACACACAAACACACAAACACACACACACACACACACACATACACACACACACACACACACAAACACAAACGCAAACACACAACACACACACAAACACATACACACAAACACAAAGACACACACACACGCACGCACACACACGCACAAATTTTATTTTATTTTTGAAGAAACGAAATAAGTGACATACCCTATTGGAGAAATCAGTTGCTATGGATCTTTGCGTTGGCAAAGATGAAAAATTAGCGAAGCCCACATCAGATAAAGCACTGCGGTTCAGCTCCTTGTACGATGATCTCAGAATATTCATCCATTTATTCTTCATTGAAATCAAAATCAACTTCTTCCAATTGCTTAATTTATCTTATTTATTACAGATTCTTTTGCTGTTCTTCAGCTGCTTTTTTCTTCTCTTTCTTTCTACGCTTTGTTTGCAATCGAAAGACGATGAATCGTAAGGGGGAAAATGATTATATATATATATAATTATATGTATATATGTAGTAATTGAACACAAGAATTTAGAAATCGGAAAGAAGGAAAAGGGCTAAGGGTTCAACCCTGGAATGAAACGAAATGCCAAACAGGCTTTGGGGGTTTTTGGTTGCAGGGCACGTGCGAGTTGTATGTACGCACGTGACACCTCCTTCCTAACAATTTAATGATTTAAATAAATAAATAAAAGATATTCTGTCCTCACCCGGGATAACATAACGTGCTTAATTAATAATTCACTGAATTTATAAGATAATACATATTTAAAAATTTTAAGAAGCCCCATATAATATATAAATTAATAATGCATAAAATGAATTTGTTGAAAATAATAAAAAAAAAGTTATAAATTAATGTATGAATTAATAATTATTAATTTATCGATAAGTTAATATTTTATTAAATTAATAGGATTTTGATGGTCCCAATTATATTAATTTATATAGTTTTAATTAACTATATTGCTACATTTTGCAAAATTTGATTTTTTTTTTTTTAATTTCTATTGCTAATGCTATTGTAATCAAATTCGAAAAAAAATGTGAAGGGCATTTGAAAGTAAGTATAGTAAAAAATATAAATAAATACTTAATAAAAATGGTGGATTAAAATTTTACGAGTTCGACCCAATACAAATTTATAAAAACTTCAAAATTAATTTGTAGTAGAATCGAATATTTTTATCCACCTCGATTTAAATCTTTGAAATCGGACAAATACTGTTGAACTTATAACAAACCAACAATTGGATTTTAAATTCATAATTGTTTGTTTGGGCTTAGATCAATTATATTAGGTTTCTACTTGGATTTAGGCCCATCAGTCATAAGTAATTCTACTACTATAAATTTATTTTATTTTGTAACAAATATTTTATTATGATATTAGTAATTTTATTAAAATAAATAAGCCCATAATACTTTTATTTTTAGTTTCAATTTTGCCTATTTGTCTGCCACGTGTCCCACCTCGATGGGCTGGATTAAACATGGGCTTATAGGATAATCACTACTACTCTTCACCCACATAAAACAAGCCCATTATTTTCGGCCCAATAAATAAGAAAAAACAAAAAACACGTGGCAATTAACTATTGGCCTAAAAGAATTATATGAAGGGGAAATTAGTGGGCAGATAGTGGCAATAACTGCCTTAACCGTCACTATCCTAATCTTTCTCTCTCTCTTAACAAAATAAATAAAAGACAAGATCACAGTTTAAAAGAGTCCCATGTAAAATCTGCAGATAAAATTTGGAAACACGAAAAAATAATTAAATCACAAATTTTACTTTTTTTTAATTTTTTTACTGTGTGTCAGACAATATTACTAGAAGTAAAATTAATGGAGGAGGAGATGATAAAGAAAGGGCCATGGAAAGAAGAAGAGGATCGAGTTCTGATCGAACACGTGCGCAAATACGGGCCGGGTCACTGGAGCTCTCTTCGATCCAAAGGACTCCTCCGCCGCACCGGAAAATCCTGCCGCCTCCGCTGGGTCAACAAACTCCGCCCCCACTTGAAGACGTAATTATTAAGCAACCACGTGTTTTTCTTTTGTGGAATAATCCTCTCTCTCTATCTCTCTCTCATGTTTTCTCTCTCTCTATATATATGTGTGTGCAGTGGGGAGAAGTTTACAGCAGAAGAGGAGAGGAGAGTGATAGAACTGCAGGGGCAATTCGGGAATAAATGGGCGAGAATCGCCACGTATTTAACCGGAAGAACGGACAACGATGTCAAGAATTTCTGGAGTAGCAGACAAAAGAGGCTGACTAGGATTCTCCACACTTGTTCGTCGTCTTCTTCATCCACCACTAATCAACAACTCGAATATTCCCCTGTTCCTCACCATCTTCCCTCTTTTCCGGTCAGAAAAAAAAAACTCGTTTAAAACGAATCCCATCATTTTCGCTCATAGTATTAGATATTTCCACGCATATTCGATTAATTTTAGCTTTTGTTTCTCGCCATAATTTCGCAGGCACCGAATTTCGCCTCGCCACCGAAGCAAGAACACAACACGTTTCAACTAGAATATACTTCTCAGATTCCGAGTTATCTAAATGAGTTCGAGCGATCCAACGGACCTTCACCGGGCCCCACAGAACAACCACCTATTATGCCAGCATTTTTCGGGCAGGGGCATAATTGTCAAATCGCTCCAATGCAAGAACCTAACGGCGAAGTAGACATCGACTTTATGATCGACGACGACTTCCCACCAATCGACATGTTCGACTCTTTCTCTACTCCAGATCTAATCTAACATAACATTCCGCTTGGCATTTCTGTAATTCTACTTTATTTTATCTATGTGCAAAATGTTATTACTACAGCATAGTGTATCCTTAAAAACATATCCTGAAACAATGCTCTTTCAGAAAATATCAATAGTACAAGGAGTCTTTCTCGTAAATTCATACAAGTGAAATTTCTGCGTAAATGCATCGTTCGTGTAAACGTCTTCATGACCATGAGATGCTAACAAAAAGCAAGTAAAAATTGATTTTTCGACAATTCTAAAAAGTAGTTCGACAACAAACGGCTGATTTTTTTTAAATGGAGATTTCATCGGATGCTTTGGCTAACGAGATGCCACCTAGACCTCTAGGGGACCCCACAAAATCTCCAGCAGTAAACGAACGATTCTCACTGAAAGCAATTGTTCTGTGTGAGACTGTATACGCACAATACTCGACATCATATACCATTACATCTTTTAAGCATCCCGAAACAACCGCTCCAACTCCTTCCCCTAAATAAATAAATAAAACGGCAAAAAAATATCGTTAAGATTATCTAATTCTTGAAATGCAAATATGCTACGTAAAAAAACCGAGGATTAATTACCATGTGTTACTAGCAACAAGTTTTCCGAAGGGTATTTGTTGGAAAGAGCCTTCATTACATCGAGATATCTAGCCCTAGCTTCTTCAACCGTCTCTTGCCATTTCGGGAGCTACAATCATTACAAGAAAACTAGGTTTTAGCACACGACGGCTTAATTGTGTAAAAAAGTAAAAAATCGGCAAAAGAAAATCACCTCCTTATACACCATTTCGGCGCTAGTATCGATAGTGCCAGCTGGCAAGACAGCTTGACACTGTGAGATATCGAAATTAAAAATCCCGTCTTTCGGAGCAACGTTGGCTCGTATAGCTAGGTTGTTCATCATTTCAGACAATCCGTACTCGATCGAGACCTGAAAACACAAGAGTATTGATACTTATAGGGTAAATTACGGCCAGCCCTGTGGTATGGTTAAATTACGAAAAAACCCCTCTTGTTTGGGTAATTACAGTCACACCCTCAACTCAACTATGAATCGTGAAATATTCTCTCTAGTTTGTAAAACTCGTTTTGTACAAAAATGTTTGATTATAAATTAATGCTTGTTCACAATAAAAATGGCATCTTAATTAAAAGCTACGAATTAAACGACTGACCTTGATTTTGGAAGGATCAATAACGACGCCGTTTGAGGACAAGTCATTCGGATCGTCGGAGCGGTTAGCGACGGCGCACAAGCCGGCGACGACTTCGGCGGCGGTCTGGAGGCACCGGAGAAACGGAGATACAATAATCCGATGGATCGGAAAGCCGAGCTGCTTCCGGAACTTTTCTCCGATCCCGAAGGAGCGCACCAAGCCGTCGTCCGCCAGCGGCGGGTCCCACGGCCGCGGCGCCGACGCCGCCCACAGGGGCACTAGATTGTCCATTCTGTCGCCGTGGCGCATTACGACGACGTTTTGGAAGGATTGCGGCTGCTTGGAGGCGGCGCCGTTGACAAAGCCGCCGTCGCAATCGGTAGTGTTCGATCCCATCATTGAGATTTCGGAGAGAGTTATTATTATTAATGAAATAATTTCTCTGCTTTTTATAGTTGTTGTGTGAGCCTCTGATTGGTTGGGGGAGGAAAGATCGTCTGTAACTCACAATAAGAGGGCTCCACTTAAAGTGTAGACATGTACTACTAATATGGGTAAAATTACGAAAAAAACCGACTGAACTTTAGACTAAATAACGAAAAACATTTATAATAAAATTCCTCTCTGATTAACTGCTGATCGAGTTTTTTTAACAGAAAATTTACACAGTGTATTATACCTTTTGTTAAATAGGTGAGAAATAAAAGAACATACCTGAAATTATGTAAAATCTATTCATAATTATGAATATGTGGAGGTTGGTGTAAAACGAAAACAAACATCATGAGGTTTTTGGTAATTACAAATAGGTGAAAGTTGTTTTTGTAATTTAATCTAAGTTTAGGGGAATTTTCGTAATTTATCCTACTAATATTTCAACTTCTAGAATGCAAAGTGGAACTAATTTTGAAAAAAAATTAAATTAATATTCATCATTAGTATTTTTATGTATTTTATATTTCAGGTGAATGGGAGAGATGGAATTTTTGAATTAGCAATTTGGAGAAAAATAATATTTTTTTTCGGAAGTGAAAAATTATTTCTATTTTCGACCCAGAAAATCACAAATCGGAATAGAAATAAATAAAAAACATCATTACAAAACTAGAATTTTTTCATTTTGGGATTGAAATTGATGAAAATATGAAATTATATTTTTATTCACTTATAATATAAAATAAATAACAATATCAATATGATAAGTGTGGTTTTCATAAATAAACTACTCAAATAGGATCGAAAACTGGGATCCCGTATATAATTCGATTCCGGTCTAAAAAATAAATCGAAGTTCAAGACTCTTAGAATTTGTTCCAAAATCGAATTTTGTTTTGTTTTGTTTTGTTTTGAAGAATATTCGGAAATTTCTTTGGAATTTCCAGTAATGGTTTAATATTTATAAATGGTTTTAATTCTACGACATGGGGGCCCCACTATTATATATCAACACATAAATCATAATCCGTGATTGATGATGTGAGCAAACATCTTCGTGGAAATCGACGTCAATGGCGGGCGGGGGCGTACCCTACACACCAGTGGGGTGCATGCACATGTGATTTAAACTTGATTTGGTCAACGACCCGAAGTTGGACGCAACCACATATGTACAAAGAATTCCAAGTGTAGTGCCAATTTTGTGAATTTCTAGGTAGCTTCGAATAAAACAACGATATTTTTGAACCTTCCACGTAAGCATTGTTTTTGGATAATGTGATTTTCTTTTTTAAATTATCTTTTGAAGCATAGTATGTAAGATTTTCTTATGTGTTTATTTCATTATAGTTGATAATTATATCCCAATTAAGTATTTATTTCACAAAATTATCTCTAGTCATTTCAACATACTCACCACAATTCTATAAATTAAAATCCCAATATAACCTACAATTTCATTATTTTGGGAATCGATATTTTTATTTTTTTACATATTTATATAGTTCGTATTTAATTTCAGACATTCGATTCAGATTGGTGTGTGAAGATTAACCATAAAAATTCATCCGGTATAGCATAGAATCAACCAGGGTATTTTTTTCTTCTCAGATGGTTGAAATTCCTAGAGTTGCAGGCTATGTCTACGAATACGATTTCTCTATCAAGGAAGAACTAATTTCACCGTATAACGACAAATTATTCCGCTTAAAATGTACGAATATAATCCTTGCGGTCAAAACTAGTTTCATCATAAACAAAATCAACGGCGGAGAGATTATCGACTCGGAGGTAATAAATACCATGATCGACGACGACGGAATCAATGCGTGTGCAATCTATTTGAGTTCAAGATTCGAGGACTATTGGATGGCCGATAACGAAATACAAAGGCTCGAGACCGAGGCCGTTGACTTCGCCAGACGGGCCGTCAACACAGCTAATTAATCCCCTCGCCACGTGGTACCCATTTTCGTTGACTTAAAAGTCCGCACTATTATTTGACTTCTAAACATATTTGACGATTTAGCAAAAAATAAAATCAAAAAAATCGCAAATTATTTGTCGTTTTAAACTTTTAACGAGTAACCGATTTTTTCTTTCCAAATTTACCTTACTATTAATAGTTAATACGATTAACTTCAATGTAGCTTTCGACAGCTAAATCCAGCAAAAAAAAAAACACATTCTGCTGGTTTATTTGCTAAATAAGAAAACAATAAATAAATTCACGAGTTTTAATAATTCAAATTTACGAAGAAGCCGATTAGCCGTCGTTACGGGTGACGACAACAATCAGAACAATAACCAAAGAAAGTAGCAACGAAGATCGAACTTTCTCTTCCAAAAGATCTGCAACACTATCCGAATTCGATTTCTCCTTAGGACCTGTTTGGAGGATCTCATTAACCAAAAACCCGAATTTCTCGACCAGCTCGAAAACCTTCGACTTAGTGAATCCCATTATCCACTCTAGGACAACGATTGCTATGTCGGTTTCTTGGTTGCAGTTCACCCCTTTGATCTCCTCTTTAGCTGCTGCATACATCAACAGTCGAAACAACGTATTATACGAAAAGTTAAAAAAACACGTTTTTTTCCCTAACAAAAATAAAATAAAAATTATCGACCTGGAGGAATCGAGCCTCGTAAATCATGAACCGCGTTATTACTCAAGATAGCTTCCCAAACAGCTCGGTCGCATGAAATGGAAATAACCATGTTCTGTAATAACGAAAAATTATTAACCGTACATACAATCATTAGACACATTAAAACAAACAATCGTGTCGGAATTTAAGTTCATTAATCAATTAGATTAAAGCAAACAAATTTACCTGAAAAGATGGTTCTCTTTGCATCATGGAAAAAGTGTCGCGGAATTTGAGAAATCCGGGAGCTTGTAGCATTCTTGAATACTCGTCTTCATTGCGGACCAACGATTGAAGCCCGTCGAGCTTCGGTTTCGTATTCGAAAGGCCATGCATTAACCTAAGCATTTCATCGTACAATCGCCATGTCAGCGACAACCAAACAACATTATAATTGTAGTTAAGTTTACGGGCCCCACATTATTTTTCAAGAACCTACGATTTTATTTAGATTTTTTTTATCTTTAGAATGGTTTAGTATTGTCATTCGATATATAGAATTGATTTTTACGGAGTATTGGTCCTCGCGAACACAAAATTCTGGCTCTGCCATTGTACATATCCAAATCTAGGTTGCTAGAGATCATAATATAACATACAAGAAAAAAGAGAGAGTTCGATATGAATCAATTTGACAGAAAAAAGGAGTTTCTTTAGTTTTAAACATTTTTATCACCTCATTTTCTACATAATGAAACATTTTTTAGGGTAAATTACAACTATCTCCTTATGTAAGGTCAATTTACAAAACAAAACCCCTCATGTTTAGGTAATTATAATATTAACCTCTCAATTATGAATCTTCTTAAACATCCACATTTTTTGTGTCAGATTCAACAAAAGCTTCTAGATTCCGTAGAATGTTCTCTAGTTTGTACTCGTTTTGTCCAAAAATGCAGTTTCTGATGCATCACAATTTGATATTTACGAGCTAATAGACCCATCTTATGGTCATCATGTTTCAAAATGTGGAGCTCGAATAGGGTAAAACGGATACAAACTAAAAAATATTCCACATAATCTAGAAGATTCTACTAAATTTGACTCCGCAAGGGTGGACGTGTAAGAAGATTCTTAGTTAAGGGGAGGTTGTAATTTTCTAAACATGAGGGGTTTTTTTGCAATTTAACCTTATCTTAGGGGAATGACCGAAATTTATCCTTTTTTTTTATGTAAATAGTAAAACATTTTTGTACTTTCATGAGGGAAAAAGTAGACAACACCATACCTTTGGAGATCAAGAATAGCCTTTTCGACTTCGAATCGGGTCGGTACCGACCCGAATACGGGCCCGCCATTATTCATAGAAGATGGATTGCTCTGGTTGCAAATCGCCGCCTCCGAATAACGAGCGTCGAAGCTTCTGGTGGTGCCGGAGGCGGCGTAGAGCGATGGGTTTGCGGCGGCGAAAGAGGCTGACTTGCCACTCAACATGAATCCTCCACCCATGATTTTGATACTGTAAACTATGTTACTTCTGTATTTTCTTTTCTTGAGTTGTAATGAAGATGAAAACAAAATGATTTTTTTTTTCTATCTTGTTTATCAAGAAAAGGATATTATTGCATTTTGTTAAATGATTTATTGCATTTAACACCTTCATATTTAGCTTAATTGCAACAAAGTACTCGTAGTAAATATAGGGGATGATAATCATATAGATCAAAAAGTATTTTTTATTTGGAAGTGAACAATTAATTCAATTTCCCTTCCAAACATTTCGCCAAGTTTGAATAACAAATTTTCGGATCGAAATCGGCGAAATTCGAAAATATCACGTTCTTTTTTTTTATTTCTAAATTACCTATAATAATAAATAATATATTGATATTTAAATATAATGTTTGAAAATTAAAATTGGATTGAAAACTTGAAATCTCATGTATATATTAACCAATTTTCAATCTGAAAAAATCCAAGAAAAAAATAATCAAAACCCGGAATTCGGATTGAAAAAATATTGTTTAAAAATCAGAAATTTTCAGATACTGTACATTAAAGCTTTTTAGGCGTTTGAATTTTTTTTATAATAATAAGTTTTTAAATATTAATTTAGTGAGAAACTAAAGTAAAAAAAATAAAATCATTCACTTACTATTTATTCAACCTTTTAATTCCTTTAAATAATACCTTTATTTATTTATTGTTTTTAAGCTATTTTTCTTCCCCTAATTAAACGGCCAAATTCTCTGCCTACACTTTGCATCAATCACTTATATTTCCAACTAACTTAACTGCTATTTCCTAATTATCATATTTCACCCCTTTATATTTCTTACACTCTTCTTCTGCACATAGTTTCTCCATTTTTAAGGTTACTTCTTCTCTCAACTACATCTCTATATTATATTATATAAATATTTATTTATAAATGTACATATATGGTTGTCTGTATTTTTTGTGATTTATGTAAAATTTTGATGAATATATATATTTTTTTAATTTACCAGATCGAAATCTACCAGAAATGGCGGTAGACGGAACATACGTGAAACTAACCGAGGATCAGAATTCCTTACAGAATGTCACGCCCGGTGAATTAAATCAAGCCATCGATATCGAAAAGGTACATATATAAAATTATATAAATCATCAATTTCAGATTTCATATTGGTAGATAAAATTAATCTACAATTTTTTTAATTTAATTAATGAAAGATTAGATAAATTTCGAAATTAATTACAGTTTTTTTTTTTGTTTGATTGAATTAAAAATTGTAATTGTTTTACTGACAAATGTGTTAAAAATAGCTGACTGCTCGCAGATGTGAGCAATGTGGACAAACGTTACCTGCATCCTACACTCCGCCGGCCGACGAAGATTGGACTACCGGCATTTTCGGTTGCTTTGAAGATACCGATAGTGGTAAAGATCCATTTTCCAAAATGTTATAATTCAGTGACGAAAAAATTGATTTTTTTTGGATTTCGAAACAAATTTTTGTATTCCAAATTTTGAAATTCTGGGTTTCCGGTTTTTTTAGGATCCGAAATGGAACTAGTATTCTGCTTTCGATTTTTTTTTTCTTTCTCTTCTGAAAGTGTTAATTACTATCCAATTTGGTCCGATTTTCACTCATAAATGATATAATACTCACCGTGCTATCATGAAGGTGAAAATCAGACATATCGGATCGAAATTAGCACTTTCGAAGAGTTTCATTTTTTTTGTAAGTGAAAAACTAATTCCAATTCCGTTTTTTTTTTGTAGAAACCGAAAAGTGGAATTTCATAAATTGGCAAGAAAAAACTCGGTCCATACCGAAACATTCGGATCAAAATCAACAGATTTTGAGAAAAAAACCTATTTTTTAGTCAACTTAAATCTAAAATGCACCATAATAATAATTATATCATAAGTGCAATTTTTGAAATTATTTTAGAAAATTAAAAAATCGAAAAGGAAATCGGAATCACATATATATTTCAATTTCGATAAAAAAAAAAAAAAATTGAATGAAAAAACGTTGTTCCAAAATTGGAAAATTTCATATCGAAATATGTGGAAATCGAAAATTTTCGTTCCAATTTCCAGCCCTAGTTCCACCTTCACCTAAACTATCCAATGGGCTGCTCTATTGTGTATGTATAGGGTTGACTGGACTATTCTGCCCCTGCGTGCTGTTCGGGCGCAATGTGGCAGCGTTCAACGACGAGATAACTCCGGAGAGGGCGTGTGTGGGGCACGCGATATGCATTGAAGGTGGGATAGCATTGGCGGTAACTACAGCAGCGTGCAGCGGAGTGATTGATCCGGATACCGTTTGCCTTTTAACGGAGGGTTTGCTGTTTGCTTGGTGGGTTTGTGCTATCTACACCGGCATGGGCCGTCAGTTGCTCCAACGTAAATATCATCTTAAGGTGCGACCACATTTTAATTTCCAAAAATAAAGGTTAAATTACGGACACCCCTTGAGGTAATACGGTCGAATTACGAAAACCTCTCTCATGTTTGGATAAATACAATCACCCCTTTACTATGAATCTTCTTACACGTCCACCCTTGCAGTGTTAAATTTAGTGGAATTTTCTAAATTAAATGGAATATTCTCAAGTTAGAACCGTTTATCCCATTCGAGCTCCACATTTTGAAGCAAGATGATCATAAGATGTGTTTTTTGACTTGTATATATCAGATTGTGGTGCATCAGAAACTGCATTTTTGCACAAAACGAGTACAAACTAGAGAAACATTCCACGGCAACTAGAAGATTATGTTGAATTTGAAACAATAAGGATGGACGTGTAAGAAGATTTGTAGTTGATGGAAGTAGTTATAATTATCCAAACATTAGGGGGTTTTTTGTAATTTGACCGTACCTCAGGGGTGCGGTTGTAATTTACCCAAATATGTATTATTTATTTATGCTTATTTTATTTATTTGCAGGATGCACCATGTGATCCATGCTTGGTGCACTGCTGCCTGCACTGGTGCGCAATATGCCAAGAGCACCGAGAAATGCGGAACCATCTCTCGGAGGGCGCCACGTCATCCGAGGACACAATCGTAAATCCACCACAACTTCAGGAGATGATGAATGTCAACGCCGATGACCATAAACGTAGTAATGACAATCACGACCATGCCGCGTCGTCGTCTTCTGTCGGCGAAGGCTCCGGCGCCGGTCAAAATAACCTACAGCTGCAGCTGCAGCCATTGTGAATACAACGGCTTCATTAAGGCCCGTCTTAGAGAGCATGATTGGGCCCAAGCCCGCTAAATAAAGTTTGGGATTGGTAAATAGAGTTTCTTATTTTGTAATTTGCAATATTTGTATTGGATTAGAAATGGGATTGAGTAAGGTATATTGCACCATAACTATTTAATTTGAACCATAATTACATATATTCAAATTAGTGGAGAAGCCCATGTAAGAACAGGGGGTACTGTATTGTGTGTTTCTATAATTTTGAACAATTTAATTTAATTTTAAAAATAAATTAATTATTTTTAAAAGAAAAATTATAAATTAGTGTAACAAATTGGATAATGAAGTTATGAATTGTTGCTCGACTCCAACCTCAATTGAAAAACATTCCACTACATTATACCTTGATATTTATTTAGCACACCCAAAATTTCTAATTTAGTCCGAAGACTTAGACCTACCGTGTGACAAAATCTTCCAGTCGTCACTTCTAAAACAATCATTGTTGTCATTAATTTTTTTACGTTATTATGACGAATTATGACTTCGCCACCTATTACATAATGGAAAATATATTAATCAAAATTTTCCCTAAAAAAGAAAAAGAACAGAAAAAAACCGAATCAGTTTTTGTCTTATTCAATATTTTCAAATGAGTCCTTGAAAATATATAAATTATCTAACCGGGCCCGCCCGCACACATACCCGGATCCATCATGACCCGAAAACCACATTTGTGATTTCGACTGGGAAAAATATAAGTAGAAAGTAAGAGCTAAAAAGCTCTTCGGGTTATTCGAAGCCAATTGGAAGCTTCGGTGAAAAAATGTCAGTAATCGCCGGCGAATCTCAGGGAGAAACATCGGCCGGAAATCAACGGACGGTACTATTCCTAAATTACCAGCGTCAATCGACGGTCGGGATATCCCTGGACGGATTACGCGCTGGAGCAAGCGCAGATTGCACAGAAGACCATCGAAATCACCGTAGAGAACGCAATCGAAGCCACAAGATCGCGAGTTGATCGTCTTCTCACCACTTCGTCTGCGCATCTCAACCAAACAATTGTAAATTCTGAATTTCCACTGTTTTTTCCCCTTTTTATGCTTTCCTGCAAATAAATGTTAAGTTGATTGTAAATTAGATTCTTATTGTTCTATATGCTGCTAAAATAAAATAAAATAAATTAGGAGATTCACATGCTTCCTTTGCTGATTTTTTTTTGGAAAAATGCATAGTAGAAGGAATTCATGTATATGCATATGAACAGAAATCATTTGTATATCACATGTGAATTGAAAATTCTATGATGTTATAGCTCTGTAATTTCCTATATAAATGTGTATTTACAGCTCCCTCCCCTAAGTTCGACATATTTTGCGCTTATTTAGATCTTACATAGAAAATGTAGGTTCAATTTATTTGTAGGGTAGGCTCTATGAGTTCTTCTTACCGATAAATGACGAAAGCTAACAAGTTGGTTGCAACTTATCCGCTTGTAGAATAGACTCTTCGAACCTCAATATCGACATTTTAATTCGAGAAAATGCAGTGTGTTTTGCATTTCTATTGAAACCTGCCTCGGAAATTTCTCGTAATATTTCTCAGTTTAAGCAGTATGTAGCCTCAAACATGCTGCACACCCGCCCTTACCCATTGATAGATATTTATTATGTTGATTGGATTTATTCATTGCATACTTTCGTGATATGCTTGTGACTCGAGAGAGAACTATGTTGCAGGATTCTTTGCAAGAGTTAAAGTCTGAGTGCAGTACATATGAGGATATTGTTTTTGGAAAGATGAAAGGTCTGTTTGAAAGTGAATAATTTACACAACATAAATACGTTTGTGTAGCCACATGTTTATTAACTTAGTTCGTGATTCTGTTGTGCGCAGAGGGTTTTCTTCTTGCCTCTTCGCGCCCATTCGTTGCAACTGGAGTTGTTCTTGGTGTGGGAGTTCTCAGCCTAAAAAGTATGTCCAGTGCATGATTTTAAGCAACTATTTATGGTCATTCAATTGGTCTCGTAACCTTTGCTTTATATTTATTTTGAATATTATCTGCAGGAACGAGACAATTCCTATCCCACAGCACAATGCGCCTCTTTCTTAGTGAAGAGGTAATAGAACAAATGTTGATAGGCACATTTTCTACTGTAGTACTCATGCCTACTTGATAATTGACTTAAAGTTTGTATTGCATGATCTACTGGAAAAATACCGAGGTTTATCTAATATACATAAATGATTAATTATGGATATAGATGCAGAAATGACTCGTGTCTAGCAAGTTGCATGGTTAGAAATACAAGAGGAACTTGATATTGTTGAATTAGCATTAAGCATCATGTGATTGAATATATCAGCATATTAAGCATCTCGGCGGTTGGAAATATATGACAAGGAAATAATGATTTTAGTAAACGGTGTTTGCTCCAGATAATGCTTTCTAGAACTAATGCAAAAGTCAAGGAGTTGCGGCAGTCAATCGATCTTTTGAAGGTTGAAAGTGAAAAGTTGGAGGTATTTTTTTTCAACATTTATTACGTTCTCTTGGAATACGTCATTTCTGTTGCATTCTTTGTTCCCCCCATATAGCATTTAAATGTTTACTCCTTCCTTCCCAAATCCTTCTCCATTTGTTGCATTGAAGGAAAAAGGAAAACAGTATCAAATTAGTAATTTCCATGAAGGATTGAAATCGGAAATCAATGTGCGTAATGGATAGAAGACCCACAATTTCAGTTGTCACTTGAATGTTAGGAAAGGTGTAAATAGATGGCGCATGTGTATTTTCTCGGCCTCCTTCTCTTCAAATGCAAGCTAGGATCTCTATTTTTTTTCACAACGATCAGCCCCTATAAACTCTTTTGGATCCTGGATATTATAGAGGAAAATGAAAGAAAAAAGAGACAATGGGGCGATGAAATAAGGGATTGCACGTGCTTTTTTTCCCTTCTGTCAAAAAAAATGGAAAACATTTTTTTTTTTTGGTTTACTGCTGTATAAAATGAAAATAAATTCATGTATGCAAACCCACCCCATTTCTTATGTTTCCAGTCTTTTTCCTTCCTATAATTCGGAGAGGCGGTTGAATTATATACATATAATATTCTAATTATAAAATTTTGTAAACCTTTTTGTTTAGGGAGGTTGGAATTTGTTATACAAAATATTGAATGTCTTTGCTTTGGTTGTCAAATGTCAAGCATCTTGTATTTTATATCACGTCTTATGACATGATATGTATTCGTGCTAACAGAAAAGGGCATTGCAAGCTGAAGAAAACTTGGTGCGAGGGAGGACAAAACTCAAGTATGCGTTTTCTATTGAAATTTAATTTATCTAGTTAGTTAAATTTCCAGTTCAAATAATGAAAATATTGTCCTGACAGGCAAGCAGGAAAACAGATTCACGGTGTGATAAACTCTGCTTACAAGATAGAAAGCCAAGCAAGAGGTATATGATCTGCCTCCCTCCCTTGTGCCCGTACATGAATGGCAGATTATTGATTTCGAGGGATCAAGAATTTGTTCACTTTTTTCTTTAGTGTGATATCTAATAATTAAATTGGCTAAAATTTGCGCCAGGCTTACAGGATGTTCTTACGGAGCTTCCCAGTAGAGAAGCATCCAGATTTCGAACACAAGTAAGTCCCCCCCTTTTTTTTTCTGAATGATTTGGTAACTTACATTATTTGAGGGAAAATTGCAATTTTTGTCCCTCAAGTTTGCATCAATTTTATATTTAATCCCCCATGTTCACAAAAAACACATTTGGTCCCTGATGTTTCCAAAATTTAACATTTTTGGTCATTTCCGTCAATTTTAGTCGAATAAGGTCCTAATAGTTCTCCTTATATGAAAGGAAAAAAGACGTGAACCGAATAAAGGCTTATCAACCAAGCCTCATTAGAATCACTACTTTTCCATTCGTAAAAAAAATTGAATTTAAAAAAAATGTAAAAAAAATAAAAAACCCGAACAAGGTTTGAATTTCTGCTTTGATTGCATATGATCTTTGCCACAGGTGGATATTCTATTACTTTCCTCCTAAAATTCTCGTATGGTTAATTTTTGCCTCTAGGTTAAGAGCGTTGCTAAGGAGGCGAAGAAAGAAAGAAATGCTCTATCCAAGGAAGTTACAAAGATCAGTAATTACGGTATATCGGTCTGAATCTCACCTTTTTGTCTCTCTTTCAATGGATATTATTAAACCTTTTTGTTATTTGTTGTTGAGTTTCTTACATGCTTAAGCCGGTAGTTTTTTGGTATCGAATAAAAAGATTACATCAAGTACATACATGGCATCTCTCCTCTTCTTTAATGAGTTATTATTTCAAGTGTCGTTGTGTGAAGTTTAAAGTAACTAGGGCAATTCCGTTTCGGTTCTTTCGCGTATCTGTGCCCGTTTTCTTTTAGTCTGTCGCTTATAAGAACGTTTTTTTTTGTGATAAATATTGACATGGTTGGTTGTCGAAATTACTTTATTGTCTTGGACATTTGGCTTAAAGGTAAACCGTATTATGTAGAAATTTTTAAAACAATATTTTCGCGTTTGATGTTTGGTTTATTCTAAGATACGTCCGATGAAGTAGACGGGGTATATAGTAGTACATGTGCGTATATATTTTCCAAATGTTTGACACATATTTACATATATATATGTGTGTGTAATTATGGATACCTTTAGAGCAACTCCAATGGAGAGACATCAAAATGGAGCATTAAACATACATTTGATACTTGATATAATACTTTGATACTTCTAGAAAAAAAATTTACTCCAACCACCACAAGTATCAAATAGATTATCAAATTTTAAATATGTAAATAATTATATTATTAAATGCCACGTGACAAATTGTGATAGGTTAATAGAGTGGTTACATTTTTGATACCTCATTTTCCACGGAGTATTTTTGCACCTCGGGGTGGTTGAATATCAAAATAGTTCTCCCTTTAATGCCTCCATTGGAGGAGGATTTTTTAATTTTGGAGCATCAAAGTGGTAGTTTTTCATTTTGATACCCCATTTAGTTCCTCCATTGGAGTTGCTCTTACGGTGAAAAATGTTATCCAGTGCAAGAAAACGATGAAATTTTTACTATGAATCTTTTTTCACGTATATATATAATCTTCTTTCACGTATATATATGATGAAATCCAAATTATAATTCTCCTAACTTATCTATTTATAATAGGATTTGATTTTTTTCTTTAATGAAAAGCTTTACTTAATTTTTGCAAAACTAATTTATTTTCCACATTCCTATAGCTCTAACTGAAAACGACACCAAGCAAAACTGTGGTCTATCTGTATATATCTATGTCTTTATCCATCCACGCATGACGGAGTTACATACATACATGTATATATATATATATACACATATATATAAATTGCACGATTATTTGGTCTCAATTAAAGTAGAAGATATTTATTTACTTTGTATGTGACAGTACAAGTACCAACTTGTGACCCTAAGCCTAAATATATATTATATTCTTCACTCTTTTCGTTTAAAAGGATTTTATAGATGCTCTGCTCGATGAATTACCTCGGGTGATCCTACGCCATTGATCGAATAATAGTACATATTTATGTATACATTTACTTAGTGAATAATTATTTGCATAGATTTATGGTGTAAAATGAAGCGGTCGGATGAGCTGACTCCTAGATGGCTTAAAAGTAATAAGGAAGCAATAAAATTAAATATTGAAAGTTAGGGGTCCCCATTTGGTACTTATCTTTATTTTGTTATAATGAAGTCGTCAATCCGCTTTTCAAGAAAATAATATATTTGGCATATCTTATAATATACATGATTTTTTTAAATAACGAACCTCTGACCTCTACCGAAATAATTCTTGTATCATTCGAATAATTTGCATCCTTTTAAAATAATTTAATACTAATATTCTCCGATTGATATTTTTCGTAAACAGTAGATTTATAATTCAAATTTTAATTATACGGTTATTATATATATATTTCAAAGAAGAAATTGTATATATATAATATAATATTTGGTCAAAAGTAAATAATATTTTGCCACACTCCTACAAAAGGTTTGCAATATTTCTATCCAACTGAAAACGACCCCAAACAACCTCTGCTTTACCTGTATCTACTATGTCTTTATCCATCCACGTACTCCATATCATAATACATACACATGCATACACTGCACGATTTTGTCTCAATTATTATTATTATTTTATTAAATATTATTCTTTTTATTCAAATATACATTATTTTGTATCTATACCAGGATTCAGGAGCCAACATAACCCCTGTCAGTTCCGAAAGTACATTAATCTATTATATATATATATGCATAAATATCTCGATAATTTATGGATAAGTTAATATTTCACTAAATTAATATAGTTTTGAGCTGTATTAATTTAAAGAGCTTTAATTGTATTTAAAAATGTTTGATCCACGAAAAAATAAATCCCAATTCTATCAATCGGCCCAAGAGAAAGAGAAGTGTAGCCCTTAAAAAAGGTCCAATTAAATTACTAGTTAAAACTTTATTTGTTGTTTGATTAATTAATTAAATAAATTATTATTTTATTTTTAGGGAAAGTTTTTAATTAAATAAATTAATAACTAGCATTTTCCCCCGTGCGATGCACGGGATATTATTTAAATAGTGAAAAAATAAATCAATTTAATACATAATAAGAAAATATAGTACACTAATATAAAATGTAATAATGTAGTATTATTCATATTGAATATCTAGCTTTATCTCTTAAGATTTGAGATATATTGATGAAAATTAGGAAATCAATAATTGTTGAAAATTGTAGTTAAAAAATTAGTACAGAAAAAATATTAAAAATAAATAATTACATAAGTAGCAATAAGGTAGAATTCTTCACGGGTTAGTTCTAATTTTGATATATAATTGTTAAAAATTATAATTAGAAATTAATAGAGAAAAAATATTAAAAATAAATAATTACAGAAATACCATTAGGGTTTTTTAGGGTTGCCCAGCGTTTCTTTCTTTTATATATAAGATATGTAGAAATTGTGTGCCTGGCCTGCTGTATATAAATAGAGAGAAGCGCACACCGACTTGGAGCCACTAGTAGTCTAGTACTAATTATAAGTCTCTCTCTCTCTCTCTCTCTCTCTCTCTCTCCATATACATATATATATATATATACATATATATATATGTGCGTGTTTGTGTGTGTTTTCTTCTATCTCTAGCTTCAAAGCTGTTTTGTTTGGCTGTTTGTTTTCTTAAAACCTTGTCCGAAAATGGTGGATCTCCGTACAGTTTGTTGTCTGTGTGGCGACGTTGGCTTCTCCGACAAGCTTTTCCGATGCTCCAAGTGCCTCACGCGCTTCCAACACTCGTACGTCTAATCCCCCCCTCTCTCTCTCTCTCTCTCTCTCTCTCTCTCTCTCTCTCTCTCACACACACACACACACAGAAACGCGTATATCTGCGCGTGTAATAGTCGATTCCAGCTTTTTTTCTTTTTTTTTTTTTGTATAATTCGAATTTAAATGGAATACAATATACAGTAACGATCAGATTTTGTATGAATAATTTAGGGGAAAATAAATATGTATATATAATTGGTCGAGTTTATATTTATACATTCTCGAACTGCAGGTACTGCAGCAATTACAACTGCAGAGAATACGCAGAGGCAGCAGTGCTACAAGTGTGCGATTGGTGCCGGTGCGACGAAAGAGAATATAACATATCATCATCTAAAAATAATAATAGCCACATAAGATCACCTTACTCCGGCGAAAAAATAAAGCAGCAAACGCCGGAGAAATCCACCGGAAAACTCCCTTCGCCGCGTCCCTCCGCTCGCAGGTACAAGCTTCTCAAGGATGTAATGTGCAGCACCAGGTGAAAGTTACACTCGGTGTCTTTTTACTGTTGATTTACACACACCAATGTGGGTGTGTGTTTGTGTGTATATATGAGTGGCAGGGATCTATATCCAATGTATTTCACCCGATGTAGCGTAGTATAAACCGACATCTATAATAGTGTGAGTCTTGACCAACATATTATATGTTGCATTACGATCGGAGCCAACACAGGATCAGAAGGCCACAGTCTCCCAACATTTCGCAAATCTCTATTAAATTTTACGTGTACAATAACATTAACAGTTCCCCTTAATTTTTTTTTAATGCATTCGCCCTACCTGATTTAAAATTATTGCTCCGCTAGTGATTATGAATATATCTAAAAAAAAAACTTATGTGAATATTGAAGGATTGAAATTTAACAAGATCCAAATCAACTGATCCGATCCACACAATTTGTACAATCTATAAATGTTAATTATTTTTTGATGTACATCTGTAAAATTTGGTCAAACAACTTATAAGCTTTTAAGTATTTTCTCCTCTTGATAGATTATTTGAGAGTTTATAAAAGCTATTATAACCCTTTGCTCTACGTGAAGTTCGTTCTCGAAGGAGTATGGACCTGAGTTTATAAACGAAAGCAAATGGAGGCGCTGTCCTCGAATCTTCGTAAACTTGTAGTCCATTATTTTTAATAAAAATCCATACATTTTTAATGTACTCAATTTCGAACACTCTTGACAAAACTGACGGATTGGCCACGGTCAATTATTTTTGTACTAGTGTCTTTTTCCACTAAAAAAAATTCCATTTAAGCATTGCAAGATAAATATTCTTGATTAGCATAAACGAAGGTCAAGATCACAAATTCACGTGTGGGGTTTCACACATTTCTATGGTTGGTTGAGCCCCATTAATTTCATCCAATCAAAGTAAGCCTCGTGGCAGAGACTTGATGGATGATGATTCACGACCCATGGACACGTGGTGCTCCCCAGCAACCGGCACGTGTCTGTCACTACCTACCCAAAATGGTCAAATGTCAACTTTGAGGCACACTAATAAATGTGCTGTTCTTTGTGGAGGCAAGATGAAAGTGATGTTAGTAATGAATAATATATACACTTTTTTTTTTCTTCTTTTTTTCAATAAATATTTAATAATATACTATTTCTTTACATGAAATAACAAATATACATGTAAACAGAAGTGACATTTTATTTAAATAATTATTACATTAAATCATTGTGAAATTGAGTATATATACACTGCATCAAATATTACATTTATGGTATTTAGTAAGTGACACAAGATCCATGTACCACTACTTGTACACTGAATGTAGCACCTAAATCTTATCAATTTAGAGTAATTTTTATTTGCATTGAATTTTCCAAATAATAATAATAATAATAATAATAATAATAATAATAATAATAATAATAATAATAATAATAATAATAATAATAATAAATATTGAGATAAAAAAAGAACCAACTACTTAAATGTTCTTGATGAGAGTAGTTGCAGGACTATCGACGTAGACAACATTTTAAATAGGGTAAATGGCAAATAGGTACATGACAAGGGTACTTAATTAAAAGAGAGATATCCAACTTTTTTGTCTTTTAAATAAATCCAACCAATTCAAACTTATTTGCAAATAAGGAAAATCCCTTTATATATACCAAAATTACCCCCAATTCATTGAAACCCAATTCAACTCCAATTTCATGATTTACACCCCAATTTAGCCCAACTTCATCAATTAATCAATTTTAACCCTAATTTCAATTTTGACCCACCACCACCGGTCCGGCGTTGACTTTTTTTTTTTTTTGAAAGACTTTTTTTCCCCATAATTTTTTTTCCGGCCGGTCAACTGCCGTTGACCGCGGTCTCCGGCGTTGACTTTTTTTTTTATAATTTTTTTTTCTTAAAAAAAATATTTTAATTAATATTACTGTCATGACTGCTAAATTACTGTCTGCGATAGTTATTTAACTGTCAGAGATAGTAATTTAACTGTAAATTTACTTTTTTTTTCTTCAAAAATAATTTAATTAATATTATTGTCTTTGCTACTAAATTACTGTCTCCAGCAGTTATTTAACTGTCGGAGACAGTAATTTAATTGTTAATTGATTTTTTTTTTTAAATTTAATTAATATTACTGTATTCGTTGCTAAATTACTGTCTACAGCAGTTATTTAACTGTCGGAGACAGTAATTTAACTGCTAATTGACTTTTTTTCTTCTTAAAAAAATATTTTTAATTCGTTGCTAAATTACTGTCTCCAGCATTTATTTAACTGTTGGAGACAGTAATTTAACTGTTAATTGACTTTTTTTTTTTTTCTTAAAAAAAATTATTTTAATTAATATTACTGCCTTGGCTGCTAAATAACCGTCTCCAACAGTAATTTAACTATCTTAGACAATAATATTAATAATATTACTGTTCGGAAAAATAATATTCATAATATTACTGTCACAAACAGTAATATGTCAGAGACAGTAATTTAGTAGTCAAGATAGTAATATTAATTAAAATATATTTTTTCTAAGAAAAAAAAATTCAAAAAAAAGTCAACGCCGGAGACCGGCGGTCAACGGTGGTTGATCGGCCGCCGGAAAACAATTTCAGGAAAAAAAAGTTTTCAAAAAAAAAAAAAAAAAAAAAGAAAGTTAATGCCGGAGACCGGCGGTCTCCGACGGTCAACGCCGGAATCTGGCCGGAAAAAAAAACATTTCAGAAAAAAAATTATTTTCTAAAAAAAAAAAGGGGGGGTTTAATGTGATATATTGTTTAAATACGGGGTCAATGTGTAATATTACGGAAGTTAGAGCATAATGGGTGGAATTGATAAGAATTAGGGCAAATTACCAGAACCCCCCTGAGGTAAGTCTGAATAACGAAAATCCCCCCCTGAAAATGTGTATAGTCTATTGTACCCTCTGTTAAATCGTGCTAACATTGTTAAAACACGTTTTGTTCCTAACAATAACAACGTTTTCAATATCAGATCTTTTCACTTTTATTTTTCACATTCATCTTTTTCATCTGTCACGACTCCCCTCTTCACTTGGAGATTAGAGAAGATTAGGGCTGAACCAAAGAAATTGTTATCATCACCTATCAAGATTAGAGAAGATTAGGGCTCGAATCGCGAAGTTTACGTCCAGAATCAAAGGTTTGTATGGATATTTTGTTCAAGTTTTTTAGGGTTTTAAATTTCGGTAAAAAATTAGGGTTTTTGATTTTTGGTTTCAAATTTCTTCTTTTTCTTGTTTCTACTTTCTGATCTATGGGTTCTTGGTTTGTATGGATATTTTGTTCAAGTTTTTTAGGGTTTTAAATTTCGGTAAAAAATTAGGGTTTTTGATTTTTGGTTTCAATTTTCTTCTTTTTCTTGTTTCTACTTTCTGATCTTTGGGTTCTTTGTTTTCTATTTTTTCGAGTTTCAAAAGGTACTATATTTTGTTCAAGTTTTTTAGGGTTTTAAATTTCGGTAAAAAAATTAGGGTTTTTGATTTTTGGTTTCAAATTTCTTCTTTTTCTTGTTTCTACTTTCTGACCTTTGGATTCGTGAAGGGGAAATAATAAATTACAGAAGTTAGGGAAATTAGGGTGGTATTCTGATTGGGATTTCTAATTTTTTATTTTTTGGTCTTATTTTTTTATTTTTGGTTTATAATTTCTGATTCCAAAGAATTAATTTATGATTTTGGGGATTATGTTTGTATTTGAATCTGATATGTTTTTTGTATTTGTATTTGAACTGCAGATGGTAGATTTATGCTCTGTTATTCTACACTACAGATCAAGTGAAGTTAAATTTGATAATATTGATCCTGACAAGTATAGTTATGAGGACTTATGTCTAGCCATTAGGAGATCATTTCCTAGTATTAATGGGGGTATTGAAGGGTTAAAGATGACATATATTAATGAGGATATTGAAGGGTTTCAAGGGTTGAGCATGGACTGTAGCTTTGATGTAAAAACAATGTTTGCCTTATGTGTGGATAATTGCTTCCATGTGTTAGTTGAGGATAAAGATCAGAGAGTTGAAGAAGACTCTGATTCTGATTTCCAAGCCAACATTGATGAAGATGACAACAGAAGTGAAGTGCCAAGTGATGAAGCTAATGATGATGATGATGATGCACTGAGTGGATATGAATCAGATAATCATTGCGAGCATACAAATTGGTCTGATGAGGAGCTGGATAATGATCCATTACAAGGATGCATGGATTTTGGGGATACAATATTCACTCCTGAACCTGGGGAAAAGATCACTTTAAAGAAAGGTCAGGTGTTTACTGATGTGTATCAATTTAGACAAGTGTTGAAAGATTACATCATTCAAGAAGGCTTTCACTGTGTGAGAGATAAGAATGAAAAGCAGAGGGTTAGAGTACATTGTGGGGGTGAAAACTGTGCTTGGAGACTTCATGCCTCCACCTTACCTGATAATGTAACATATATGATCAAGGTTTGTCCATGTGAGCACACATGTACCAGAGGAGCTGTTGATAATGAGGTCAGTGCCAAGTGGTTAGCCTCAAAGCTGATGGATCTCTTAAGATCAGACCCTGATGCAAACCTGAAGGCAATGAGGCATGAGGTGACAAAATATGGGGTCAAACCACAATACATGCAGTTTTACAGGGCTAAAAGCATTGCACTTGATCAGATACAAGGAAACCATGCAAAATTGTTTGAAAAACTACCATATTATGGTACTATGGTTCTTGCTACCAACCCAGGCAGTGTAGTTACACTACAATGTGATGTTGAAGATGTTGAAGATGAAAATGGGTTAGGAGTACCACAAAAGCCACCTACATTCAAGAGGTTTTTCATGGGACTTGCTGCACTGAGAGATGGATTTTTAAGTGGGTATAATCCATTTATTGGCTTTGATGGATGCCATCTTAAAGGGCCATATGGTGGTGTGTTGCTTTCAGCAATAGCACTGGATGGCAACAATGGCCTATATCCAATAGCATTTGCTATTGTTGAGACAGAGAATAGGGACAGTTGGAGTTTCTTCTTTCATAATCTCACAATCATGTTGGGAGGATTTTCTGATGGAAAGCCATGGACATTTATGACTGATAGGCAGAAGGTAAATTATGTCTTTGTTATAATTATGTTTTTTTTTATCAAAATAATTTCATAATGCATTTTTTTTCTTTATGTCACGGACTGGTGGAGACAATTTCAGAGATGGCCCCCAATGTAATGAACAGAAGGTGTGCTAGGCACATTTGTGCCAATTTCAGAACTCATTTTGCTGGAGGTGCACTAAAGAAATGGTTTTGGTCAGCTGCCAGGTCATATACTTCCTCTGGTTTTAACTTTGCAATGTATAAAATGAAAGAGTTGAATGTTAATGCATATAAGTGGTTGCTAGCTATTCCATCTGAGCAGTGGTCAAGGTATGCCTTTGATAAAAGGCTTAAAAATGACCATGTTACTAATAACATTTCAGAGTCTTTTAATAATTGGATTGAAGAATTTAGACCCATGCCTTTCTTGAGTTTGTTAGATGGTCTTAGGTGTAAACTAATGAAAAGGCTTACAAATAGGGCTGCAAAAGGGCAGAAGTCCACACATGAGTTAATGCCAACTGTAGTTGAGAGGTTAAATATTGCAGTTGAAGAGTCTAGGAAGTGTGAGATTGTAGTTGCTGGAAATGATCAGTTTGAAATTAAAGACAAAAGAAATCATTTTGTTGTGAATTTATCAAACAAGAGATGTGACTGTGAAGAGTGGGATTTGTCTGGACTGCCTTGTAAACATGCCATAGTTGCAATCAAACACAACAGGCAGAGGCTTGAGGATTATACAGATAAGTGTTTTTCCAGGGAAATTTACATGACAGTTTATAGTCATTTTATCAATCCTATTAACCACCCTGATTTCTGGCCAGAACACCTAGATGCCACTCCAAAGGATCTGCAACCTCCTACTTATAGGAGGTTGCCTGGGAGACCTAAAAAAAATAGAAGAAAAGAGGCTGGAGAAGGCCAATCACAGAAAAGATCAACTGTGGTTAGATGCAAGAGATGCAAAGGTTGGGGGCATAACATTAGAACTTGCAAAGGACCAACTCAGTCTAGGAGAGGTGCCACAACCACAGCTAATGGGGTATGTTGTACAGTTTATTATTTTTACTTCATGTGTTCTTACAATTTGTTTATATGTTTCTAAGCAAATACAGATATATTGTAGGAAAATACACAATTTCAAGCCTCTAGCAATCCAGAAAGACAAGGTGAAGCATCAGTGTTGACTAGAAGAAAAAGAGCAAATGCCCAGGTATTCTATTTTTTTAACTTTCTTATTATGTATTTGGTGTTCTGTATTCTGTTTAATTTTTTAATATTTACCTTTTTTTACTTTATTACAGAGTTCTGCTCAAGCCTCTGCTCATCATGCATTTGATGATGATGCCCAAATGACTGCTCAAGCCTATGCTCATGCATTTAATGATGATGTCCCAGTGACTGCTCAATCCTATGCTCAAGCACCTAAGAAGAGAAAAAAGACAAGTGCAGCAGCTAAGGTGGTCTCAAAAGGCAATGTTGCAGCACCATCTTCAAGTGCAAAAGCACCATCTTCAAGTGCAGCAACACCATCTTCAAGTGCAGCAGCACCATCTTCAAGTGCAGCAGCTAAGGTGGTCTCAAAAGGCAATGTTGCAACACCATCTTCAAGTGCAAAAGCACCACCTTCAAGTGCAAAAGCACCATCTTCAAGTGCAGCAGCTGATAATATTGACAACATTCTGGCAGGAAAATGGTATCCCACTGACTTTGACAAATTTATGGCTTTCATCAAGAGGTAGAACATCATAGACTGTTTTTTTTGATGTTTTGTAGCCTGTTTTTGGGATGTTTCATAGAACATCATAGACTGTTTTTTTGTGTTTTTGGTGGTCTTTTTTACAGGCTATTTTTTGGGCTGATTTGATATGTAATTATTCACTAAACATGTTTTTTGTAGCCTGTTTTTGGTGGTCTTTTTTACAGGCTATTTTTTGGCTGATTTGATATGTAATTTATTCACTAAACATGTGGTGCTTATGGGCTGATTTGAAATACTAGTTTATGTTTGATATATCATAAAGGTACAATATTTTATTGCAGAAATAGTAGTACAGTTATTTTACATATCATGTATAATGCTAGGATTGCTAGGTTTAGCACTACCAAACTACGAACTAATCCATCTTCAATCTTGCCATTGTTCTTCGATTGAGCTTGATTTGTCGATGCACTTGTCACCTCACTGTCATCATGCTTTCGAGTAGCTATTGTATCACCATGTGAGCAACTATAACCAACTTCAAATGGCTCACACCAATGTGAGAAGCCGTGTTCGGGGCAACAATAAAAGAGCCTTCCCGGATTTTTTCTCGTCTCCGATATCATAATTGTTGTTTTCTTTCCACAACTCTTGCATTTCTCCTTTTTATATTTTAACCCACTGATTTGAGAGGATGTGCTAGAAGAATCCATGGAAGCAATAGAGAGTGGTGGAGAGAGAGGTGAAAGAGAAGAGAAAATTCCACCTTATTTATAGGGATGCAAAAAACGGTCATATTCAACAAATTACTCAAAACTTACAATTAACCCCCTCAGATATTAATGCAACGGTTATATTTCAGTAAGTACAAACCATGTAACAATATGACCCCTCATAAAATAAAATGCTTACAATTACCCCCCTAAGGGTAATTTCGTCTGTAAATAGAACTATCAGAACGTTCCACGTGTACAAGGGCAAAATTGGTAATATCAGAGGAATATTCGGGAGAATCAAAAAGATTCTGTCAAGTTTAACACCGTTAGAGTGATTTGTAAGATGTCTGCATACCTCAGGGGGATTTTCGTAATTACGGGAACAAGGGGGGGATTTTCGTTATTCAGACTTACCTCAGGGGGGTTCTGGTAATTTGCCCTAAGAATTATATTATGGAGGGTATTTTAGACTAAAGACATGGGGATGGGTTTAATTGAAAGACTGTTTTTTTTTTTGGATCAAAATGCATTTAAATCCCATGTGATGGACCTTTTTGCCATTTGCCGTTTTAAATAAATTAAATGGTTTTTATTTTATTTTTGGCATACGTAAATGTGAAATAAAAAATAAATATATTTTTTTCAATAGACGGTCTAAAATATTAATAATGATCGATGATCAAATTCATAGTTAATGATCTGAAATCGAGTATCGAGCGGCTTACAAATAAACGATTAATTATTTTTTTTATTTCCAACTATGAGTAGAAACTACGCTTTGACTCGATTTTTTTTTCCCGTGATGATAAAACGACGACGAAGTGAGTGACAGACGAATGGAAATAGGTTGTCCGAGTGTGGGTGACTCAATTGAGGCATGAATATGCCAGTGATTTTTCCTCCATCAACTCTTTTGCAGTTGCATCCATTTTCTCCCTTGAAAATTCATCAATCTTCAAACCTATATACACACACGTATAGTGTGACATATGAGCTAAAAAAACATAACATGGGGCATTTATGCGAATAACAATAATACGAGGATTTGTTAGCAATTCAGAATAATAAAGGGGGTATTTTGCAATTTTACTCTTATTTATTTATGGTTTAAATTAAAGGTGGGAATATAGTTTAATAATAATAATAATAATAATAATAATAATAATAATAATAATAATAATAATAATAAATGAATTATAACCTTGCACAATTGACCATTCTCCTTTGTCACAAGTAACTGGGAAAGAATAAATTAGGCCTGCTGGAATTCCATATGACCCATCTGAATAAACCCCCATTGACACCCAATTTCCCTGCACCAAAAAAAAATAAAATAAAATACATAAAATTGAATTAGCAATAATTAATTAATTTAATTAATTAATTAGGGAGTAAATTAAATAAAATAAAATAAAAACCTTGGGAGTTCCTAAAACCCAATCACGAATATGATCACAAGCAGAACTTGCAGCAGACAATGCACTCGAAAGCTTCCTCGCTTTAATAATCGCTGCGCCCCTTTGTTGCACCGTCGCAATAAACTCCGTTTTCAACCTAATAATAATAATATCGAATTCAATTCACTACTAATTCGATAAAAAAATCGCAAATTTTTTTATTTTTTTTAATATAATAGTACCATTTATCGTCTCCAACGAGGTCGGGTACGAGTTTATCGCCATTGACCGTATTGACAGTAGCATGATTTGCATCTGGATATTGAGTTGAAGAATGGTTACCCCAAATGATGACGTTTTTTACGTCGCCAACGTGTACGTTGAGCTTCTCCGAGATTTGTCCTAAAGCCCGGTTGTGGTCGAGTCTTGTGAGACAAGTTATGTTCTTGTCTGGGATTGAGGGAGCAAATTCTTTTAGGATTAGTGCATTTGTGTTTGCTGGATTTGCTACCACCAATACCTGCATTGATATGTAATATAGCAATTTTGTCGAAACACGAATCGAACCACAAAATTGGGCGCCAAAAAAAAATAGATCGATTTTGAATGTATTTTAATTAGAAAATTATTTAATTCCATGGCCGGTCGGATTTGCAAAATATTTATCAAGGATTTTATCAGAGGGTTGAAATTGGAATGGAAATTTCGAGTTTGTCTTCCGACTTAGAAATTTCCGATTTCGGAACAAGTTCTTTCATTCCTGTATATGAAACTCCAAAAAAGAAAAATCTATTTTTTCTTAAATGGATTTAGAATTAGTTTCCACTTTCCAAAAAAAATGATTTTTTTATAAAGATTTTATGCATCCGATATACGTCCGATTTTTATCCCTAGATTTTATGCATTTACATTACAAAAAAAATGTTTTTTTCTTTTTCACTCCATGTTTACATTTTACTATGAATGAACAATGAATTAAATTAGAGTCATTGATACTATGAATAGATTCTTATAAATGTAAATTACAGTAGAACCTCAAATAAATTAATAACCACGCTTAAATAATAAAATTTTCAGGTCCCAGTTCGGTACAAGCATACTAACTTATTAGATCAATAATTTAATATGTCACTAAATTAATAAAATTTTGTTAATCTCGACTGTATTAATTTATAGAGGTTTAACTAACTGTAGTTTGCAAACTCCAATCGGGACCGGGTTAGCTTTTCGTTTCAATATTAATGAATAATAATAAATTAAAAAAAATACAAAAAAGTAAAATCAAATAATAAAAATTGAGTACCTTGCAATCTGGGGCAGCATGTTTTTCTAGGGCAGAGGCTTGAGCCTTGTAAATAGATACATTCTTTGACATTACATCTTTCCTCTCCATACCTTCCTTCCTCGGGAATCCGCCCACCATAACGGCAATATTAACGCCGTTACAAGCTTCTACTACGTCCGTCGTGGCAACTACCCCTTTGAGAAGTGGAAACGAAGCGTCAACGAGTTCCATTTTAACGCCGTTAAGTGCTTCGGCGGCCGGTGAAATATCAAGCATGTGTATTATTACCGGTTGATCTGGACCTAGCATTGCCCCTCTTGCTATCATCGGTACTAGTGCATACCCTATTTGTCCTGTCGAAAACAAAAATTCCGATTATTATTTTTATGCCGATTTTCGAAAACAATCCAATTTTTCGAAAAAGTTGTAAATTTTGGATCGGAATCAGCTGAATTCGGAAATCCAGTTTGGATTAGCAACTCGATTATCAAATAGTCCATAATAATAATAATAATAATATATAACTAGTATTAATATGTATTGTGAATGGATTTTATGGGGAGAACATGGAATTATTTCTGAAAATAAAATTAATTCGGATCGAAAATTGAAATCGGAATTCCATATATGATTTTAATTATGATCCAATTTTTGTGGAAGAAAAACATCAGCGAAAATTTCGTTCTAATTTTCACCTATCAATATATATACCACATAAACTATATCAATTATTTACGAAAAAACAACCTCAAAAAAAAAATTAAAATATATATATATATACATATATGTATATATATATATTTATATATATAAAATTAAATAAAAAATAAAATAGAACATGCCTGCAGCACCAGTAACAAGAACAGTAACAGGTTCTTTATCAACAATCAAGAAGCTCCATATGTGCTTAATAATTTTCCAAGATAAATATACACAGCCCAAAACAACAACACTCTTTTCTATTGACACAAAATCATCCATTTCCAATTTTTTTCTTTAAATCAAGAAAATAGTACAATTTTTCGACCAATTATAATGGGATTAAGTTTTACGATCGAGATTAATTATATATAGTAAAAAAAATGCAGAAAAATCACACGGTAGGCTTAGAGAATTCGGCGTAAACTTGTAGACAAAGCAAAATAAAATAGCAAGACAAAGTCCAGAAGCCATGGAATAGTACAATATTAATTTCTTCTTCACAAAGAAAAGAACAAATAGATATATATATATATAGTAGTAGTACTATAGAATAATTAACATGCATGTGTATTAATATACTTGAATAACATGCAAGGAATATTGTATACATCTTATGTTAAAACAATGTAGAGAGAGAAAACGCATATGTATCGTATATGCAAGAAGATCGATCGATGAGAGAGAAACGCACCAGCTGCACCGGTGACAAGAACTTTAAGAGGGTTTTTTGCCATGGCTACAATAATCTTAAAGATTGAAATTAAATTAATAAAAGCTTTCTTCAAATCCTATATACATATACATATATATATATATGTATGTGTTTATACGATCATTTGACTCAGTAGTTGAGGATAGCGCGAAAAAAATCGAGATTTAGCGAATATTGAGGAACAATATAAGGGATAATTAAGGAGCTGGTTTCTTTTGCCTTCGGTCAATTAAAATTTAATTTTGATCCATTTTTCATGCGTCTGTGTTTACCATGATGAATGCGATCCCGTACGTGCAAAGCACGGGCATTAATTATATATATATATATATATATATATATATATATATATATATATATATATATATAAAAGTGGGCCTTGAATGGGTCCACTAATTATTTTGCTATACTGGGCCGAAAGCTAAGGCCAAGCCCGTTGGTTAATTACCTTAACGAAATTAGAATTATACTCTAATTAGAATTCTACTATTAATTAATATAAATAAGGCCTCATGGTAAAAGGTACGTTATATTCTCTAGTTCTGATACCTCTTGCAGGTTTGAAATTCAGGTGTTCCTCTTTACGTGACACCGACCATCTGCTCCCGTTTAATCCACCCAAGGTGAGTGCCCTGATACGTTTAGGATGATGTGGACTAGGGTTTTTTTCCCGGTACGTTATACAATTTCTTTTCCTCAAAGTTATGGTTATGTTGGTTATATTATTTGATTATTTTTTTTCTTGTTGTGTTAATGTTCGTAGGTAATAGGTATATTTATTGGATAATTACGTAATTCAAGAAACAATGGTTTTATGGTGGGGATGCGAAGCTTTACTTGGAGTGGATGCACGTAGAGTCGCGGGGTACGAATATAATTACCGTTTCTCGATCGACGATGAAATGGCTCCGTTCTATAAATTCGAATTTCTCCATGGAAAAAAAACACATATCTTCGAAATCAGAACAAGCTTCATCATGAAAAAAATCAACGGTCAAGATCAGATTATGGACTCGGAGAGATTCCACGCAATAGTATATGGGGATAGTCAAACTTGTCTCATGGGACGTGTGGCGGACCGATTCGCGGAATATTGGATGACTAACGACGAAATCGGTATCTTTGTCCGTGAGGCATTCGATTTTGCCGCCCAAACGGGCAAAAACACCTCCCGATCGTTAATCCCTATAGTTGTTCACATCGACGTTTGCACAGTTCAGCAAGAAAACGAGACGGTTGACTCGGTCAGCGACCGAGTCATCAGAGAGGAAAAATTGGTCCCTTTTGACGTTTGGCCATTTAATCCAGCGGCTGCGGATCGGGGGAATTTGGATGGACAACTTTGGGATTATTTGGCTCGGTTAATGATGGGGTGGCCTGGATGTGGAGAGTTGGACTCGTCAAATATTAGGGTTGAGGATGTTGGAGAGGGAATGACGGTTATGCCCATCTGTAATATTTGTTCGCGGGGCCCGATGATCGGGACTCGCATATCGGTGCTCCCTTCGTGCAATCATGCTTTCCATTTGCATTGCATCGTGAGGAGGATGCTCGGCAAAAACTATATGTGCCCTACGTGCCAAGTTCCTGCGTATCCGTATCAATATCCCCCACTACTTGAAACATGAGAGACTGAGTTTGCATATTTGTTTTTATTATTAGTATTATTTAAAAAAATCCTAAAGTAGCGCGACTTTTTATCGGAGTTTTAATTTGTGGTTCTTTTTTTTTGCCCCGGATTTCGGGTTTCATTTGAGCATTGTTCTTGAATGATTTTTGACAAGTCTGTGTATATTTTACATTAGGATTGGAAACGTTTCCACGCACGCAGTTGCGACTCGTCTGAAAGAAATAAAATCACATCAGTTTCTGATCCACAAACAAAAAGATGGCGTGCGTATTCTTCATAACAAAATACGCACGCCATCAAGAAAATAAAAGAACACAAAAGAAAAATAAAAAAATTGCGCCTTTTTGCACAATTTGGCACCAAAGACAACAGACAAATAAACAAACTGGCCCGTTTAGTCAGCCTCCAACGAGGTGGCGTCTTTTTGCACAATCTGCAAGGTAAGATGAAGGGGGTCGAATTAGAAACAGAAAAGCGAAACGTAAAAAAAAAACTATGGTCCAAAAGAAACCGAACCGAGCAGAAAAATATAAAACTACACCTTAGTTACATATTCTTTGATTCTGTCATTAATTTCTGGATCTAAAGCTCTCTCAGCAAGCTCGTAATATACAGCGCTACCTTCGGGGCCATTAACTTTTTCTTTCTGCAAATATCTGCACAACACATAGCAACGATCACATACAAAATCCAAAATGAAATCCAATACGGACGTCCCGACAATCAATCACCTCTGCTGGACAAGTGCTTCTACAGCCAGTTTCGTGTTTGCAAAATTCGGATGGCTTTCGTCGTTTTCATGCACTCCCAATCGCTTCAGATGATGCCAAAGATTCTCTTCAAGACAATAATTTTACGTGAGCAACAAATCTAGAAAGAGTCTCGATATTATCTTTACAATTAAACTAAGTTTTATAAGTACGATTTGCCATAGGCGACTCAATAATCCAGAAGCATATACCTTCCGTGATTTTGCCTCCGCCTAGATGAATAATTCCGATAACTACAAAAGTTAAACCGGTCACGTGTGACGAACTTGCGTCCTCCACAAACTTTTTATAGATATCAGCAGGTAACTGACTTATGATTATATACGATTTTGCATCACCGGTAGCTGCAACACACGAAACATCGTGAGAATCAGTATTGTATACATAGTTACGAAGCAACGAGAGCTGATTACGGTACTTAGTATTTTGACTGTCTTAAGTCAATTGAAAGAAATGCAAATGGATGTAAAAGCATGCTCTGCTTCCCTTCAGTTAAATCAATCGAAACAAGTCGTTGGTCTCTTTATACTAATCCCAAAATCGAAAAAACAAATGTACCAAAATGGTAAATATGTATAAAATTCAATCGGATAAAAATAGATTAATTAATTAAAAAAAAAAGAATTTTTTTTTGGATAAAACTCACAGAGGTGGGATTGTGAAGCGCGGGTAGATTTAGAAGAAGCGGAAGGGCGAGAGCGGTGAAGCTCTCTCAATTCATAGCCGAAAATGGAGGAGAGTTTGGATTTGGCCTCGTTGATTACAAATGCGGGCAAATTCCTCTGCTTATAGCCTTTACTTGTGATCAGCTGAGTTAAATCTTCCCTTCTTATCGGACAACCTGAACTTTGCTCGGTTTTGAACAGGATGTACCGGATCACTTCTCCCACCAATTTGTCCTTTTCCTGTGCCCAACAAAAACACAGTCATATCATATTGTATACTCTCTCTCTCTCTCTCTCTACACACACTCACACACTCTCTATCTCTCTCTCTACACACACACACACACACATACACAATCTCTCTCTATATATATACACCACACACACACGCACTCTCTCTCTCACACATACACACTCACACACTCACTCTCTCTCTCTCTCTACACACACACACACAATCTCTATCTCTCTCTCTACACACACACACACACACAGTCTCTCTCTATACACACACACACACACACACACACACACACACACACACACACACACACACACACTCTCTCTCTCTCTCTCACAAACACACGGCGGCGCTGGTAAAAATGGAGGAAAGAAGAAACTTACATGGTCTGAGATGTCGAACTGAGAGGAGGTTTCATGAGTGGCGGACATTCTATGGAATCGCGATAGTTTGGAGCCCTAATTTCGCCCCCCTTTTTTTTGTTGGGGGTGAGATTCAAATTGAATGCGTAAAAATGTCATACGTGCGTGGAATTGTACCTTGCACGTGCGAAAATTCAAATAATGAAATTTGGTGGGGTACGCGCGAAATCTTTTTTTCTTTTTTAATATTTAGGGTGTTTTGGTGGTCTAATTTATACTATATCGGGTGTAAATGTAATACACCACTCACACCCATATTAGTATGTGTAGATCAACGTTAAATAACCGTAAATTGCAAATCAAATTAGACAATAATCAATTATATTTTTTTTTTTGTAAAAATGTAAAAGAATCAAATCAGAGTCAAATTCAAACATTTAGTCCAAATCGAAACAGAACCAATACGTATAAACAAACTATATATGTCATAGGGAAACGAAATTGTTACCTGAGATCAGAGATCTGAACTATTGTATACCCCGCCGGTATACAATTGATCTGCAATCTTATCGATCGTCCACGTGTTAAATTCTTTTTGGTTAATTCCTCGTCTAAATGGTATACGCGACTTTGCTTCATCAAAGAGTAAATAGTTGAGCGAAAATCCATCTTCGTCTTTACTTAGCCTCCACTCACATTCTATCACGGTCTCCCACTCCTCCATCAAATCTAGCAGTAGTGCCACATCATCAAATTCAGCCTGCCTATTAAAAGCGTGCTCCGCCCTAGCTTGAGGGTACACACGCAATGCATATACAATCGGATGCTCGTCAAGAATCGGATCAACGAGAACCTTTAGTTCTTTACGCAGACATGGGAATCTGCCCTTCGCCTCTACGGGCAAGAAAGAAAAAACTGATCTCAGAATGTCGTCGGGCAGCATCAAGAAACCGGACTCTCCGACGGCCGGAGCTACGCCGACGACATTTTCGACGACCGCAGCCGGACCTAAGTTTCCGACAATTCCGACGGCCGGGACTAGGTCGCGCGAGTTTACGACTGCCGGAAGTACGTCGCCGGCGTTTCCAGCGGCGGCCGGAACCTGGTTCATCTCGCCGTCGCCCCCTTTCTTTCTCTTGTTCGACGTTGCTCTATCTTCCATTTTCCTTTTGCCGCTCTCAACCATTTTTGTTTTCTCTCCGGCTCGAGTTCCGATTCAAGAATAAATGCCTCGAGTTCCGATTTCCGATTCAAGAATAAATGCCTCGAGTTCTGATTTCGCTATTTGGGCCCTTAAATATTTGGGCCAATGATAAAATTGCAGCTACCCTGATATTATCTCAAATTACAAAAAACTCCATTTTATTATTATTATTAATATAATAATATAATAATAATAATAATAATAATAATAATAATAATAATAATAATAATAATAATAATAATAATAATAATAATAATAATAAAATGTAATCAGAGAGAAAAGAATAAGAGGTAGTTTCCTGATACAAGTGAAAATCTTTTCTAAAGTATTATCTCTAGGGTTTTCTCTATATATATTGCCCTCGCGTACTTCTCTTTTCATCTTACGCTTGTTTTCTCCTTTCATCATCCGAGGTAATAATTCTACCGATTTTATTTCTGCCCGTGAATTGTCGTCGTATGATTATTGTAATAATTTTTTTTTTTTTTTTAATTTGTGGCTCTGTGTTGCGATTGATCTCAGATTATTTTGTTATTCTCCCCTTTCTTAATTATTTTTTCTGGGTACGTGGTAGAAGTTAATTCTCATTGATTAAGCTATGTGAGCTCTAGATTGTTTAAACAGAAAACAATTTTTAACTGATTTTTTTTTATTTTGTGTGTGTGTGTGTGTGTGTAATTAAACCTAGAAATACTGAGAAAGAGTAGGTAGATATCTTGTAATGATGTCTCCTAATACGATTAGGATTCTGCAGATCTATTGATTAAGTGGTTATTTTTCTTTTTCTATTCCCCGAAATTTTTGGTTTAATTATTTGGTTTTGAATTGGTATATCGCAATTTCTCGATTTTATTTTAATCATAAGATTGTCCCTTTTTTTTGTTATAATTAATGTTGATAATAGGTATATTTTAATTGGATATAATTAGGTAGTGCAATGAACAATGGCTCTACGTGGATGCCGAACTGTAACTGGAGTGGCTGCACGTGGAGTGGCCGGGTACGAATATCGTTATCGTTTCTCGATCGATGAAGAAGATGAAATAGCTAAATTGTATAAATTCCAAATCCACCGTGGGAAGAAAACCTACCTCTTCGAGATCAGAACGAGCTTCGTCATCAAGACAATCGACGGTCAAGAGCATATTATGGACTCGGAGAGATACGACGCCCGAGTATATGATGATAGTAACGAATACGGTTTTATGATGATGGTGGAGCATCGGCTCGCAGATTATTGGATGACCAAGGATGAAATTAGTACGTTTGTCCACGAGACTTGCGATTTCGCCTTTCAAATAGGCAAAGATCCTAAAAACGAATCTCGATTACTAATCCCTGTAGTTATCCACCTTGACGTTTGCACAGTGCAGCAAGAAAACGAGTCGGTTGACTCAGTCAACAACCGAGCCATCAGGGAGCAAAATTTGATCCCGTTTTACGTTTGGCCGAAAGCGACGGGTGTGGATCGGGGGAAGTTTAATAATTATCTTCAACTTTTTTGTTTGAATCTGGTTATGGCAAGGGCTAATGTTGGAGATGTTGTTGACCATAGATCGGGGATGAGGCCTAGGGTTAGGGTTGAGGATGTCGAAGAGGGAATGGCGATTATGCCCCTCTGTGATATATGTTTGCGGGGCCCGATGATCGGGACGTATGTATCGTGGCTCCCTTCGTGCAATCATGCGTTTCATTTACATTGCATTGTGAGAAGGCTGCTGATCGAAGACAACCACTTTTGCCCTACTTGTCAAGTTCGTGCTTATCCGTTTATTCCTCCGAGATTTACTCAGCCACCACGTGCTTGAAAAACAAGGGAGAGAGTCTGCAAGTTTTTTTTTTTTTTAATTAGTGTTTATAATCTAAACTTATGTATTTTTTAAACTTATGTATTTTTTAATTAGTATTTATAAACTAAACTTATGTAGGAACATTCGATCCGAGTTTCAAGTTTAAGTTAACAGTGTGATTGAACAGATGTCTAATATCGATTTCATTACCATGATAAGAAGTCAGCGATTGTCAATAAGCAAGTTTCCCTTTTCATTGATCCCAAAGTTAACCGAAAAAACACAACTGTTACAAATTAAAACGAAAAAACAAAACGAAAACAAAATCCTTCCGGAAAAGCAACCTAAAGTATTATAATATCTATTACTGCCGTAATCCAAGTTCAGGATTAAGCCGACATTGGACCATCTTCTCTACTCTTTACGGACAAAGTAAAGCTTGCCCATCACATGAAGAATGGCAACAAAAGCAATGAAGCCAATGCTCATTACAAGAACAACATTAGGAGAGATCTTGAGTCCCGGTGCATCGTCTGTGTAAAACTGGAGCATGGTCCCACTCGCTCCGCCAGCAGCTCCGCCGCCAGCTGTCCTTCTCCGGCGAAGATTAGCTGCAGCTGCTGCTGCTGTTCCTCTCTGGGGTGCAGCTCCACCTGTTGCCATTTCTGCAATCCAACGTTTCAAGATTCAGAACAAAAACAAGAACCAAAGTGCTATATTCCAAAAAAACAACAAGAAAAAGGTAATTTTTTCCACCCATAAAAAAGTCGAAGTTGTGCATCTGAATATTGGTAATGTTTAACACGGATATTCAAAATCAGTGAATGGCAACTTCATGTGGTCATATTGACGGCATTCTTAGGAACTTATACAACGAAAACAGAGCGAAAAAATAGTTGCATACAATATGCAATAAAGTGCACTATTACTCGTCGAATCTATAATATCTCCAAGAACTACAATATTCCAAAGAAAAAAAAAGAAAAAAAGGTTTTTTTTCCCAATAAAGTCGAAGTTGTGCATTTGCGTGTTGGTAATATTTAACAGGGATATTCAAAATCAGTAAGATGGCAACTTCATGTGGTCATATTGGCGGCATTCTTAGGAACATATACAGCGAAAACTGAACAAAAAAATAAGTTGCATACGAAATGCAATAAAGTGCACTATTACTCGTTGAATCCATAATATCTCCAAGAACTACAATATTCCAAAGAAACAACAAGAAAAAAAGGTTTTTTTTTTGCCCCATAAAAGTCGAAGTTGTGCACTTGCATATTGGTAATGTTTAACACGGATATTCAAAATCAGTGATGGCAACTTCAAGTGGTCAAACTGATGTCATTCTTAGGAACTTATACAACGAAAACAGAACGAAAAAATAGTTGCATACAATACGACACGAGGTACGCTATTACTCGTAGAATCTATAATATCTCCAAGAACTACAATTGGAGACATTTAAAGGAGCTACAAATTGACATAGCATGAATATACCAAATGCATGATACGAGACTCCATCCACCGAAAAGCAAGTCGAGTCAAACGAAAAATAATTCCCCTGATCAATCGACCCATGTTTCTTTAACTGTTCCGTATTAAATTCATTCTAAGGCATTTAAAGAACCTAAATCAACAATTGCAGAGGAGAGCTCGAGACTTCCCAAATCGAGTTTATCCGACACTCATGAAACTGTTATAAATCAACATATATGCAGCTTAAAAATTCGATATTATTTCAACTATGCATTACTTTACACACTAGCACAATTCAATGCGAACAAATTGTCGTAAAAATCAAACAGTAAAATCAGCAGAAATCACATTCGATTCATCATGCATGCGTTTCAAAGGCAGAAAGGGCAACGGAAAAAAAAAAACCAATTAAAAATAGTCAAAAAAATAAATCTTCACTATCAATTCAAACCTAAGCAGAGATCAACTCCCATAATCTAGATTTCACAACTACGATCAGAGAATTGAGTAAATATAACATCGGAAAAATCAGATCCATAAATCTGTGTATTACATCGAATCAGCAATTGAGAATCGAACGCAGAGATAAAACAATAGAAGGAAATTCGATACGGAGTTGGATCAAGATCTGATTCGAATCAAACGAGTTGATTTAAACCGAAATTGTGAAAGATTTATTATTATGTATATTCATCGAATAACACTTATATTTCAAATAATATAAAATTGTTATAAATACTTGGGAAAATTACATTTTTCGTCCTCATACTTTACCCACTTTTTCAAAACTGTCCCTAAACATTTTGGAGTTACAATAGTAGTCCTTAATCATGCCATTTTTTGACAGAATTGGTCCGCCGTTAATTTTTGCAGTTAAGCTGGATGGAAAATGGCATGTGCCTCTCACATGCCTTCAATTTACAACTCTACATGAAAATGAACTTTTAACAACACGCATGGCGTCTTGTTAAAACAGATTTTTCATAATTTAAACTTGATTGAAATTCGCAATTATATAAATTCCAAAAAAACAAAATCGATATATATTATTTTAAAATATTTTGAGAAATATTCTTTAAACAACTGAAACATTGTTTAAAAAAAATGAAATATTGCTTTCAAATGTCGGAATTCAAATGAAAACATTGTTTCAAAATAAAATAAAAATTCGATCCGAATAGGTGGGATAAGAAACCTCCATTTCATTCTTCACCCTAATTTAATAATGTAAAACTCGATAAATTGTTTCAAAATATTTTTAGAAGTATTGTCTAAAATAATAATATAATGTTTTAAAACCGGGATTTCTTGAATCCAAATGAAAATTATTGTTTTAAATAAAATAAAAATCTGATCGTAATAGGCGGAGTAAGAAAACTCCGTTCCAATTTTCACCCTTATTTAATAATCTAAAACTCGATTATTTTTTTCAAAATAAATTCAGAAATATTGTTTAAAAAATCATAAAATTATCTAAAAAACTAATATTGTGTTTTAAAATCTGAATTTTCGGAAATGGAATGAAAATACTATTTTAAAATAAAATAAAAATTAGATCAAACTAGGAAGCATAAGAAAACTCCTTTCCAATTTTCACCCATATGGAATGATTTAAAACTTGACATACTGTCTCACAATTGGGATTTTTGGAATTGACTAGAGGCGAAAATTGGAATGGAGATTTCTAATATTCCCCAATTCCTATCGGGTTTTTTATTTTGGTTTGAAACGATACATTCTAATTGAATTCCAAAAATGCCGATTTTGGAACAATATTTTAAATTTTTACACTATATTTTGATTTTTTAAACAATATTTCCGAAACGAGTTGATTTTTTTGGAATTTAGATTTCGATTTTATATTAAATTTTAAATTAAAAATAATAATTATAAAAAATATGTTTTAACAAGACGCAATGCATGTTGTTGAAAGTTCATTTTCATGTAGTGTTGTAAATTGAAGGTATGTGAGAGCCACATGCCATTTTCCATCCAACTTAATTGCAAAAACTAACGGCGGACCAATTCTGTTAAAAAATGGCATGATTAAGGACTACTATTGTAACTCCAAAATGTTTAGGGACAGTTTTGAAAAAGTGGGTAAAGTATGAGGACAAAAAATGTAATTTTCCCTAAATACTTCATATATAATATTTTTAAGGTAAAATGAGTTTTGTAATTCTGTAAGTTTGTTAGTTGAGAGTTTTAGTCCACCATAATTTAAAATAAGAATTTTAGTTCTGTAAGTTATAAAAGTTGAGACTTTTGATCCTATGACCTGCTATAACAGGTAATGTGATGATTGGTTGAATATGTTGGTATTTAAATTAGGAGTTTTTATGCAAAAGTCTCCAACCAAGCATGTTTATTATTATAGGTTTATGAGATATATCTCTTTCACCAATAAGCCCATCCCTTTAATATTTATTATAACTAAAGGAAACATTCATGTATATCCAAATATTACCTTCAACCATTTATATCCAATTCTTAATTGTGACCTCAATGTATCAATTTTGTCCACAAAAATCCAATTTTGACCATAAAAATTCAATTTTGACTTTTTTTTGGAGCATAATTTAATATGCTCCAATTTCATCTTTAACTTAATTTAATCTCAATTTGACCCCAAATTTCACAAATTATTCAATTTTGACCAAAACTTTTTTTTTTCAAAAAAAAGTTTTTTGCCGCCGGATTCCGGCGTGGACCGACGGTCAACGCCGGTCTCCGGCGTTGACTTTTCAACTTTTCTTTTTTCTTTCTTCCGGATTTTTTCGGAAGCATATTTTAATATGCTCCAATTTCATCCTTTAAATTAATTTAATTTCAATTTGACCCCAAATTTCACAAATTATTCAATTTTGACCCAAAACTTTTTTTTTTCATAAACATTTTTTTTTCACAAAAAAAAATTTGCCGCCCGATTCCGGCGTTGACTTTTTTTTTTTTTTCTTTTCTTCCGGATTTTTTCGCCGGTTTCCGGCGGTCTCCGGCGTTGACTTTTTTATGTGTTTTTTTAAGTTTTTTTTTTTTGTTTGGTTTGTTTTGTTTTTCCACGTCCGCCACTAAACGTTGACCGTAATTGTGCTGTCACTGACAGTAAATTAACGTAATTATACTGTCAATGATAGTTAATTGACGTAATTGTACTGCCGTTGACATTACATTTATGTAATTCTGCTGCCGTTGACAGTAAATTAATGTAGTATTATTATTTTTTATTTTTTATTGTTATTTTTTATTTTGTTTGATTTGTTGACAAGTCAACGTAATTATATTACTGTCGTTGACAGTAAAATAACTGTAAACACAATAATATTACTGTCAACACCATCAATATTATTATATTTTTGGGGTTTTTGTTTTGTTTGAGTTATTCACGGAGTAACGTAATAATATTACTGTCTATTATTATAATATTACTGTAAACACAATAATATTACTGTGGTTGACGGTAATATTATTGTTGTTATAGTAATATTGTTGTCAACCACATCAATATTATTATTTTGTTAGGATTTTTTTTGTTTGAGTTATTCACGGAGTAACGTAATAATATTACTGTATATTATGGAAATATTACTGTGGTTGACGGTAATATTACTGTTGCTATAGTAATATTACTGTCACTCACCGTAATATTAATTATTTTGGTTTTTTTTATTATGTTTACATTTGTTGAACGGTCAACATTGTAATATTACTTTATTACACAATAATAATGAGTGTTGTTGTGTTAATATTAATGTGCTAGAGATTAATATAGCAATAGTATTGTGTTAAACTATAGTTTAGTTAATTTTACTGTGTTTAACAGTAATATAGTTAATATTACTGTCAATCACAGCAATATTGTTGTTTAAACGGAAAAAAAAAGTTACAGAAAAAAAAAGTCTTTTTTTTTAAATCAACGTCGGAATCCGATGAAAAAATCCGGAAGAAAGAAAAAAAAAGTTGAAAAGTCAACGCCGGGAAAAAGATTTTTGGTCAAAATTGAATAATTTGTGAAATTTGGGGTCAAATTGAAGTTAAATTAAGTTAAGGATGAAATTGGAGCATATTAAAGTATGAGGGGTTATTTTAGTCCTTTACAAAAATCTGGACCATGTGTGGACTTATTGGTAAAGGAGATTTTTGTCTGGATCTATTTATGAATAAGTACCCATTGATGGGCTTATTTGTAATATGCCCTTTAAAATATAAAAATAAATAAATTAAAAATAAATTAGGTGATGTGGCTAATGAGTTGGACAATTTTTTGAGGGAAATAAAATATACCATCAAATTATTATTTTTATTTGATGAATG